CATGAGTTTTTTAGTGCCTACTTTCTCCTTATAGTCAAACGATTTTGAGCCTCTGACAAAACTCTGTCCTCTGACAACACAATAAACAAAAGTTGCTTGCCTGAGTCTAAGTTGAAACATAATACCCAAAAACATTAAACTATCAAACAAAATAACGTAAATTGAAGAACACTTAAAATAACTTTTTGAATTTAATATAAATGTTTCAGCCATATCATTTTCGCTTTTATAGAAATTTGAATCGCTTTGTTTTCGGCAAAAGAAATTCAAATGAATCTTAGGCGGAGTTCAAGTCAAATTGCGTTGAAAATTATTCAAGTCTGCACCACAAAAACAAAATGTTTGGGCAAAACAAATCATTTGACCCGAGGAAACTGTTTTTTTTTTCATTTAATGGGATTGAGTTACAGCTCGGCAAAATATATATTCGCACAAAAGTTAGACTGCTCGTATGTCAAAGCATAATTGAATTTTCCGACTGAATTTTGAGGCAGTTTAAAAATGTTTGCTTGAAAAATTTTGGTTTAACATTGCCAACAGACAGTTGGAAAAAATTCACGAATGCAAAAAAAAGTACTGCCTTGTTTTCTTGGCGAAAAACTTCATTTTTTGACCTTCAAATAAAAAAAAAATTTCAAGCTCTTTGAATTTTTAGAACAGTTTATAAATGAGAATTTTTTTGATAAATTTGATTTTGCTGAGAAAGCTGAAAATTAAAATCTATTTCCGAAAAGAGAAAACGATAACGTTTTTTTGAGACTTTTACACTTTTGCTGATCGATATGGGAGTTTGCTTTTCTATTATAAAAAATAATTGAACTTTGAAATATCAAAGTTTAAAACGGGAAAATTCAAAATTTTACTGTGATTGAATTTTAAGATTTTTCCTGAAACAAAAAACAAACTTCGTAATAAGAATGAATGAACGAATTGCCTAATTTCAATTTAGAACAATGCGGGTAGTTTGAACGCAATATACAGTGCTAAACAAAATTATCCGGACAAAACGAAAAAATTTTGAAACTTTGAACGCGTTTTTCTTAATTTGGGTTAAGATTAGACGAATAGTCAAGCGAACAAACTTGGATGAAATTTCACAATAATTATAATGATGCAGTTTGTTTTGCAAAACTTTTAGCCAAAATGTTTTACCCCACAAATAGGTCAGATTTGTTTTTTTTTAGATTTTCAAGAAATACGCTAAAAATCCAAATATAGTTAAAAAAGTAAATTATATCGCAAGAAGCCTCTTACACATCCCCACAATGCTCTAATTGCATGTTAATAAATCTGGTTAAATTCTCGCAAAATCGCTTCTCTTCGCTTTTTCCTGAACTAACCCAATTTAGGAAAAACGTGTTAATAAATTTCAGTAATTTTTGTTTTGCTGGTTTCGATGAAACCTCATGATTACGCAAAGAAAAATTGCTTCGTGAAATAAGACGTTTAAATTTGCTTAGCTTAAAAAAGGTTTTCAAAGTAAGAAATCGGAGCGTAGAGTAATGTAACAAAACGCGGTAAATTAATTTTTTTTCTAAAAGATCAAACTTTAAGGCAGGATACAAACTGCGTCCACGGAAAAAAAATCTCTACTTATTTTCTATATCAAATCATGTGGACCAGCACTGACGTTTTAGAAGAAACAAAAAAAAACCAATTATACTATTTTACTTCAAATTATTCGCTCAATCAAAATACCTATCAAAGAGCTGCACGTTCAATTAAGGTACTGCAGACATTACCTTTAGCAATATGTGTAACCGAATGAGTTCGTGCAGAACCCGATATCAGATAAAGCAAAAAGTGAGCGACAATAATCTTCAAATGATATTTTTGAAATTGAACTAAAATAAATTTAACCTGTGTGTACATTCCACTGAGTGAAGTCAATAATCAGACACTTGCCTAGTTTTAAAACTTCTTTGATTTTTTAGTGGCTGATCCAGGATCATATCAAATAGCATGCGGAGATTACAACAGTGGCAGTATGAGTAGATCAAAGAATGGATTCAAATTAGTAGCCTTATGATGGGGATTGAACTTTTTGCAGGAATACTAAGGAACCAACAAGTTTAACAACAAAGTCAAAAACATGGATCTACTTGTTTTTTCAACTCGAAGAGGTAGCAGTACGGTAAAGAAACATCAATTTCAGATCATTTTTTTAAATTATTTTTCATCAAAACATGGCAGGCGGAAAAAAAAAACTGAAAAAACTTCTCTTTAAAAAAAGTGTCTACTCAACAGAAAAAATGATATGGAAAAGTTAAAAGCCAGCTTGAAAAATGTTTAGACTACCTAGAAAAAATGGCGAATAATTTAGGCAGCGAACAGGGCAGTGCTCAACTTCAGGCAATGCTTTTTGACAGTTTGAATGAATTTATCCCTGAAAAACTCACAAAGGTATATGGAGACAAGACGCTTCGGAAGAAAAACCAAGTTAAAAATGCTGCAAAACAGGAAGGAAATTCATATAAAAAGTGGGGTTTCAGAGGCTGGATATGAACATAATTTGCATATCAGTTTGGTTAAAAGAATGTTAGCAAAAAAATATAAAAATTTTAGAACAAACTGCAGACGCAAGCCGCAAAAAAAACGGAATTTTTTCAATCGATTAACAATTTTTTTGGGACTGCGAAAAAAAAACTAGTAGTTTAACACCAAGAATTTCAACACAGATGCAGATTTAATAATCAGTTAATATGTAAACACAGGTGAAAAATTAGGAAACGCTTTCTCTAAACCACACATCAGAAAAGCCTGTGAAAGTGTTGATCACAAAGTTTTTATAAGCAAATGTTAGGGCTACGGTATAAGAGGACCAGCATATGATATAAATTATTCAATTTAACCAGAACGTTAAAGTTTTTTGAGCATCAACAGAATCAAATTGCAAAGTCAGATAAAAAATTGCGGAAACCCGCAGAGCTCAATTCCAGGACCTCTACTTTTCTTTCTGTTTATCAAGGATAAACCAAAATTGAATGCAAACACAAATTCCTATCTCTATGCCGATGATACAGCCATCAAAACTCAGTCTGAAAAAACAATACTGATTGAAAACCTTGAAAATGCAATGACAAAGGCAAAAAAATGGTTGGACGAAATCAAATTGACTTTGAACCAAGATAGAAACTAAAACAGTTCGGTTTACAAAACAGAGTGAAAAAAAACAACAACTACTCAAATGCAATGAACAACAAAGTAGAAGAGCAAAAACCTGGTTCAAGTATCTGGCTTTGTATCAAGATAAACAACTGGAATTCAAGGATCTTTTTGGAGTTGTTAATACAAAGCTTAAGAAATTCTGTGGAAGCCTATATCAACTGCGTAAAAATTTAAATAAACTTCAACTGAACCAGTTTTAAGAAACACATGTTAAAAGATACGTTCAGGTTGGCGTGTTAAAATACGGGTCGACTTCCAAATCAAACGTTGGCAAGCTTGATCTCAACATCAACAGATTAACTAAGAAAAAGTTCGAAGCAGTGTATTTATTGTGGAAAAAAAAAGAAATTATACAATGTAAAAAGCCTCATTTATACGAACTCTTAAAACGTGACTCTCAGCAAAATAATCACATCCGACGAACTCTTCAAATTACATAATAATTAGAAAAGAGTAAAAAAAGTAGTAATCAACCTTTAAATACACCATAAGGTCCCAATAGATACCAGAACTCGACAGCTGACTCACAATTCTTTTTCCGACTTTTTTGAACTGATTTGCAAAATGACACGAAGTAAAATCAACATTTTTCTCCAAAAGTTTCTAGAGACCACAAAAAAAGGAACTAAAGAGTTAATAAATTTAATAGTTTAGTCTTTCTCAAAGTATCGGTTTTTTCCAATGGGTACATTTTTCAGATTTAGTTTTTCAAGTTTCTCAAAATAATTTTTCATTTCTATACTTTCTATAGTTTTGTAACAAAAATAACGGTGGTATTACACCACCATCTCAATTAAAATCAGAGATGCTGAAAACAGGCAGAGTTAATCTAATGACGATCTCCCAGACTGGTTCTTTCATGTGGTCATTTATAAAATATGCATATTGATGAATGCGAACCTATACTGGAAACAATTCATGATTATTAATTTTGGATGCAAAGTTGCTTTTCAAATTTTTTCATTGATATTTAAATTAATTTTTTGCATCTAGCTTAATTAGAGTAATATCCAATTAAATCCTACCAAGTTAATAAATCCTCGGAATCGGTAATTCAAATTTGATTTTGGTTCGAAAATCAGCAAATAAACTAAACCGATGTCTGCGGATAGTTAAAGCAGCCCGATTTGAGTAAAGCGCAATCAAAACGTTAGCGATCGAAAACTGCAGTACGAATTACTTTTGCTCTGCTATTGTAAATACCGAGTGTAAAAACGAAACGAAAATATATGTTCATGCGACTGAAACAACAAGCTCTCTGCGCCGAATTATTCTCAACAGCATGACTCGACATTGTTTTGGACACTTGGTAGAAAAAATTAAAATTGATTAGTAACGATTGAATGCGCTTCTTTGATTTTTGACTCGAATTTACCTGAAGTTTGTTTGCGTACCAGAAGCTTCCTGCAAAAACACAGCCGAATCCCAGAAGTATTTCCAACTTATTCTAGCGTTCCCATATAAAAACGGTTGGGTAAGACAGTGCCGAAGTAAGAGAGTGCCGAAAACAGAAATTTGTTAAAGAGTGCCGAAAATGAAAGAAACTGACTTATTTGTCGTGAACTAATTGAGAAAAGAAAAGAAAGTTTTGTTTGCTCATCGATTTTGGCGCCAAAATTGAGTCTGAACAAGTTTCAAGTGTCATTATTAATTTTCCCGCCAAAAGCTAGCCTCTTAAATTGCGTTCCAATATTTCCCGCCTTTTTCGGCACTCTCTAACTTCGGCACTGTCTAACGCCCCCATAAAAACATCATAAGAACACTGGATCGTGATTTTGAAAAAAATACAAAGCCTCGTGAAAACGAAATTATAGCAATATTCAATTGACTTTGCTTGATTTAAATGTCACTTAAAAAGAGCGAACAAGCTATAGCACCAGTCAAAACTCACAGTCTAACTTATCAATTCTCCCACTGAACAAATTAAACTATCAGAAAATATTAAGTTTATGCGTTGAGTTCAACAATCCACAAGGAGTTTGAAATCGCTCCAAAACTAGGTAACCCAATGGAGTTTGTTGATTCATTTGGTTCACCGCTCATTGGTTGCACTCGATCTCCGCTTTGATTTACAGTATAAAATTCAATCACAATTCACTACATCGGTAAATTACAAGAAATTAGACTTATGGATATTATGAACAGTAAAACAAATGCGCTAACACGAATTAGATCAAACTTTATTTTAGGAAATAGAATGGAAATATATATGTCTATAAGTTTAATTCAAATTAAGAGGCAGGCATGGCTGGGAATTTGTAAGTTTTCGCTGGTATTTCTGGTGGCGGGGTCGTCGTGTTATTGCCCAATGTTTCCACCGTCGCTGTAGATGACACGGATCCGAGGTCCGATCGCCGGTGGGTGATTCTCGGAGGAGGCATTGGTGGTTTGGAGTTGCGGTTCTTTTGCGTCTTTTCTTTTTCCTCCATCACATCTGGACTGCTGAGAGACTCAATGCACATAGATCGCCTTGACATGCTGTCTATTGAATTGTTGTTCTCATTCATAGAAGAGTGTTCGTTGGTAAAGTGAAATTTCTTGCTGTCTGTTGATCCCACTCGGGACATTGCTGAAGACGGAGGCGTGAAGCACTTGTTATTCAGAGGTGTGCGAGGCGGTATCTTTTCAGGAGGTGACACCCCTCCCCCTTTCGGAGGGGGCGTGGGTGCGTAATCATTGCTGTTTGACCTGGTTGGAGTCATCTGATCGGGTGAGAAGTCTAGGGGGTGCCTGGGTGGCACTGGAGGGGGTCTGTTGGGAATTGCGGGACTAGGCATCGAATAGGAAAAGTTTCCTGAAACAACAAACTACTAAATTTTATGAGTTAAATCCTTTGCTCAGAGTTTATAAAACTATAGAAAACGTTTTTTCACATTTACCAAAACTTGAACATAATTCAGACAACATAATCGGATAAAATGACAAGAGCTTACCCGAATCTGCCGATGAAGGCGAGAACTGTTGACTTCCGGAGGTGTGATTGCTCAAATTTCCCGGCTGGTTATAGATTGCTGCACCTGAAGATGGTTAAAGATAATAACTCACACCAACACAGAGAATATTTCAAGTAACAATACTTGCAGTTGCGCAATTCTGTGAAATTTAAATAAAACAAACGATTTCTTTGTAGGTAAACTTTGTGTAAATAGGCAGAGCTTAAAGCCTCCTTTGGTATTTATACCAATTTTGAATTATTTACAGCGTTTCAGTATCAAACCAAAACTTAAACAAAGAAAATGACGTAGGTTTCTAAGAATAGGCATTACGTAATACTCGTTTCCTTTAAAAAACACAAAACTTGTTGCACGATTTTCCCTTCTATGGTAGTTGGTACCATGGCCAATGTCAAAATACCTATTCCTTCTATAAATAGACATTACAACATTCAATCCATTTCTACATACCATTCCGTCCCCTAAAGTTATAAAGGGAGGGAATAATTAAAAACGAGATTCCGTTCGCCAGAGATACAACAGCCTAAACGACAAAAGCTGTGCAATATGAAATACGCTGTTTAAAAGTGACCAAAACTTGCCCCGCCAAAGATCTGTTATAAAATTAATAGTGCACAAACTAAATGGAAAAAGCTCTACTGGGTTTTTTAAGACTGGATGCGACAATGTATACACGGTGCGTATTCGTAGGTTCTAAAATAAAAATCGGTCCCATAGTTCCCAAAAAAGCAGTCGCCTATGTCCCAACCCTTTTCAATTGGTCAAAGAGCCTCGGTTTAAGGTCGCCGATGGACGCGCTACGCCGCCTCTTCGCGACGATAACCTGCTGTAATTTTGGTTCATATTCATACGCTCTGTTTACAAGCCCGCAGCCGCGTTGGCGCGACTGCAGCGGTCAACATTCTGCCACTTGCTTTTGTGCTGTTTGAACAATAAATAACTAATTCATCTACTCGTTGGCACAAACTTCAACAAATCAGAATTCGAGAAAATTTTGGGACCTGATTTGTTTTTAGGTCCTATGAATATTGGAATCTATGGAAATTCACCAAAAACAGTGCTGCATAAAATAACTCGAAGAAACCATTAAAACCTAATACTTTGAAAACGCATTAGAAAATGAACTGAACTTAAAAACAACTGAAAAGTCAAACTGCGAAAAAGTAAACATGACATATATGAGAATCTGAACTACGCTCATCGACTCTTAAGCAAATACAAGAAAACGCAAAAACAAGAGCTTTTAAAAAATCTCATTATCTACCGGAATCGAACTGCCAACCCATTTCCGTCATATACCATTGAAATAGGTAAAAATTAGCCACCAACAAAACGCAACGAACGAATGCGTTTAAATTGCCAACTCTACGCAGCAAAAGTGAAAAAATTTAGCAATAGATATGACCTATCAAAATGAACCTAACTTATGCAAACTGATTTGAAAAAAAAATCAACTTATAACACAATGCTCGCTGGTGAAACGAAAGAGATCAATAGGTTACATTTTTTGCAGTGCGCTGGGAATTCTATCAATAAAATTCAATTTTGAAAATAGAAATCCACCAGGTTTTCTGTTAACGAAGGGAATCCTTCTTTTACTTTCAGCTGACAAATTCCAAGAGAAAAAAACTGAAAGCAAACTACTTTCAAAAAAGTTAACCGTATACAAAACAAATTTCATTGTTTTGAAAATTTTTGAACATCGAGAAGCTTTTATAGTTGGCCAATTGATAAACTTGACCCATCAACACTTAACAAGCATAAAAACAGGTTATTGTTCAAATTAGTTCGTAATTTTATGTGCTATTTCATAGATAGAATCGGTTGGCGAAAAAAGCAAAAAGAATCAGTCATCGGTTGGCGAAACTTTTTCCAAGTAAATTGCGATAAAATTTTGAAAAACATTAAATGTATAGAAGCTCTTTAAGTTTCGGACTTAAAAGAAAAATTGTTTGCCTTTAAAGCTCTTTGATTTTCAAGAACAATTTATGATTGGTGCTTTTTTGATAAAATTAACCCAATTTGAGAAAACTGAATCAATACGTGAAATTTACATTTCGCTGGAAAAATTGGTCACTAAAATTCATTTTCGAAATTAGAAATTCGATCAAGTTCAATAGTGGAATTTGCCCTCCTTTTGACAAACGAATAAACTTATTTTAAAAAACCAGTCAAACCGCTAAAAATTAAACTTGAGTCTGAACAACTGTTAAAACTTTTCCTGAAAGAAAAAACATCACGACCTATACAATTGTCATCACTACGTTCAGCGACGCTTAAAACTCGAAAGACGACTCGAGATAAATCAAAAGCGAAACGTATTTTATGAATTTTTATGGAAAAAAGTGAAACATAGCAAACGGGCTGTTCAATAAGTGTTAATGACCTCGGAAAAAAGATTGACTTCTGGAAAAACTTTCAAACTCCGAAGTTTCATTTAAAAAAATTCACTTGAAGTTCTTCGATTTTCATGAATCTTTCATGATTTCTATTTTGTTATTTTAAACTGAATTAAAGGAAACACGAATTCAAAGTGAAATTATAAACGGAAAATGACATGAAAGTTGATATTAACCATAAAGTTGAACTAAAATTGACATCTCGTTAAAACAAAAATTCTGAAGAAAGTAATTATTTGCATTGAAAACACGTATCAGTATAAATCATACCTTTTCAGAACTTTTGTTAAAACTAATTAAGTGTTATTCTTCGTACTCTAAGAATTTCACCTCTTTTCCATTTTTTATTAGATGACTTAAATTTTAACACAAATGGAGCCTAAGAAAATGAAATCTCTGACTCTTTAAAACTGAAAAAAAATTATGAGAACTTAAACTGAACAATATGAAATTGCACATGGCATATACAAAGCTGATTTAAATTAACCGGACAAAACGAGCTAAACTTGAAATTGAAAGCGCGTTTTTCTCAAATTGGGTTCAGTTTGGCTGAAAACTTATGAGACAAAACTTTAGCAGAATTAATATGGTGCAATTTGTTTTGCGAATTTCGGGCCCAAATTTTACCCCAAAAATGGGTCATTTTGGCTTTTCTTAGTTAATCAAAAATTACGCCAAAAATACCCAGTCGATCACAGACTTATTCATATCAAAGTGCGCCCCTTACGTAGCATAACAAACTTTAAGAAGGGTCTATTCTCCAAAACGTTGTATAAGTTAAATTATTTTTGTTTGATGGACAAAAAGGTCATTTTTACTATATAAAATACCAACTTTTTATTTAAAAACAATTTTCAAACGGTTTGCAATTTTTTTGGAGAATGTACCCTTTTTAAAGTTTGTTGGGCTACGTAAGGGGCTCATTTCGATATAATTAAGTCTGTGATCGACTGGGTATTTTTGGCTTAATTTTTAATTAACTAAGAAAAGCCAAAATGATCCATTTTGGGGTAAAATCTGGGCCCGAAATTCGCAAAACAAATTGCACCAAATTAATTCTGCTAAAATTTTAAGCAAGTTTTGTCTTCATAAGTTTTCAGCTAAACTCAACCCAATTTGAGAAAAATGGGTTTTAAATTTAAAGTTTAACGCGTTTTCTCCGGTTAATTTAAATCAGCACTGTACCAGCAAAAAACGGTAAACCGACAAACAAAATTTTCGTCCTGCCGTGGCCAAGTGCGGTAAGACGTGCGTCTTAAACACGACAGCCGTGCGTTCGAAACATATTTGTCTTTATTCATAACTTGGTCAAGCCGGTCTTTATTCATAATTTGGTCAAGCCATCGTAGAGTTTTAACCAAATTATGAATCACTATCGGAATCTACCCGAAACGAATTCACTCCACGCTGAATTCAATACAATAGTGAAATTATCTCGGCCAAGGTTGCACACACTTCTTTCGGCTGAACTATCCCAGAAAAAAAAAGAGACTAACGAGATTCAAACTGCCTAACACCAAATTATAAACACGCAGATACCTCGATAGTTCATACGTTGGAAAACAAATCAAAATTTATTCTCTCGTCACATTCTCTTCAGAAAAAGCTCAACTCTTCGATAAGCTGGTTTGCCTTTTCTCAAAAACTTACCCATAAATGACTATATCATTCTTTAATTCGTAAAAAAGCTCAAGGTTTTTATACTACCTTTTGCAATAAAAAATCACTATGTCGGACACCCACCAGTAAGGTTCTGCCCGCCGAAGAGAGTCTCTCTCGTTCCACTAGGAGCACCCTATCCCAGACGACATCCGGGTACAGCCCCCAACTCAATACAAACCTGAACCGCATTGACCCCAACTGCCTCCCCCCTCCCCCCAACTACCCTAACTGCCCTTCCCACTCTTCATCTTCATCTTTTTAAAAATTACCAAAACACCACTTTTTAAAAACCCAAAAGACTTGTGGCTTTTCTGGAGCGTGGTTTGAAGTTGTGATGCTTTTGGAACTTGGTTTGAGCCTGCCGGACACGCCCCCTCGGGGCTTAAAACAACAAACTACTACCTTTGCATACTTGCTCCTTCAGGGGTCTAGCTACATCAAACTGCATTAGGAAATGACGCGATTAGCTTTGATAATATTTAAAAGCAAAAACATGACTGCAAACTGATGTCCTGCGGCGAAGCGGAGGTTCTCTTCACTTGCGATACTGGATATCTGGAGAAAACATAGCCTAGGAAAATCGATTAGGTTGTTTAATGCAATTTTGTTTGTGACGCCTACATCGAATTTCAGAATTAATACAAATCTATCCCAATGAGAAAAAAATCGATCATTAGATAAAATTATTCCGTTGAAGAATTACAAAAAAAAACTAGTTTTGCAACTCAAGTCACTCACGTTTTTTCCATGATGCAAATAAATTTCAAGTGAAATCTAGATTAACATCAACTTTCACATAAACCGCTTTCAACGTTTCTTAGAAAAAGAAAAATAACACGATCGAAATAATTGTCTCTATTTCGTTCATTGACCTTTTTGTGCCATGTATTTTTTTTATCGGAGAGCCTAATTAATAATAATAATTGTAGTTCCTGTGAATCAGAGGAGCTATCAGTAGGCCTTAACAGTCCTGTCGAGGATAGTCCAATTGTATTATCTCCCCACATTCCAGACAGTGTTATTTTGCTGAGCGAAGCTGTTTTTTTTTGCGACTCAAGGCCGTTTTTTTGCGTCTAGAACTTTCACGTGGTACCACTATTGCAGCCAAATTTGGCCAGGTTGTGGTAGACCTGAAGCTGGAGGTCAAGTGAGAGCTTGTCCTCACACACTATCATTGCCATGTCATGGGATCGAATACACGATCTGACGATTTCAAAGTGAACGCCTTACCACTATCCTAAGTGCCTCCTAAAATTAGTCTTTCAATTTGCAAAATGAGCTTTAAGTGAACTTCAAAAAATCTGCTATTGAATCGCTAAAATAAAACAACTTTATTCCAATATTTATTCTTCAGAACAAAACGACTCTAATAAAGGAAAATTCACTTCATGTTTTCAGTTTCAAAGAAAAATTTCATCGTTGCAAAGCTCTATCAGCTTCAAAAACATTTACAGATGGTCAAAACCCAAACTTTTGACTTTCGAAGAAAAAAAATGGCCCCATAGCTTTGAATTTTCAGAGCAATTTATGATTGACCATATTTTTGATAAGTCTAACCCAATTTGAGCGAACTGGATCAACAATTGAATTTTGTATTTCCCTGAGAAATCTGAAAATTAAATACCACTTTCCCAACTAGAGGCCGTTTTTCGTGACCTTCGCACTTTTGCTATTCGATAATGGAGTTTTTCTTTCTTTTAACAAAAGGAAATGAACTCAACTTAAAGAAAAATCAAAAGTCAAACCGCCAGAAACTAAAATTGACATATATGAGAATCTGAACTACGCTCATCGACTCTTAAGCAAATACAAGAAAGGGCAAAAACAAAAACAAGAGCTTTTAAAAAATCTCACTATCTACCTGAATCAATCTGCCAACCCATTTATGTCATATAAGCTTGAAACAGGTAAAACCTAGCCACCAACAAAACGCAACGAACAAAAGCGTTTAAATTGCCAATCATACACAGCAAAAGTGATGACCTACCAAAATGATCCCTAATTTATGCAAATTGTTTTGAAAAAAGTGGAATTATATTATAATACGATGATCGCAAGCTCGCTTGTAAAACGAATGGGATCAATAGGTTATTTTTTAGCAGGGCGCTGGGGATTCTATCAATAAAATTCAATTTTGAAAATAGAAATCAATCGCATTTTTTGTTAACAAAGAATCATTTTCCTTTCAGCTGACAAATTAATTTGAAATGAAAAAAACCGCACAAATGACACCACACTACTTTCAAAACAGTTCAACGTATAGAACATAGCCAACTAGACAAAGATTATTGAACGCATAGAAACTGAAAAAAAAAATGACTTGTTTTATCAAAAATCTTCAACTTTTGAATTTCGAAGGAAAAATTTCTGGCCTTAAAGCTCTTTGAATTTGTAGAACAATTTAGAATGGACACTTTTTTGATAAAATTAACCCATTTTGAGAAAACTAGATCAATAGGCAAAACTTCTATTTCACTGGGATATCTGATAATTAGTTTCCATCTTCAAAATTAGAAGTCGATCACGTTTTTCGTGTACTTTACATTTTTGCGGTTGGATAGTGGAGTTTGCCTTCCTTTTAACAATGGAAATGCACTTAACTTGAAAAGAAATCACAAGTCAATCCGCGAAAAATCAAAACTGAACGTGAACAAATTTTAGACTTTTTCTTTAAAAAACAAAGAAATCAGCAAGACCTATATAAGAGTACTCACTACGTTCATTACTCGTAATCGAAAAACTTTAAACCCGATATTGCAAGAAATTTTGAATTTCTTTTATGTCGTTCGAATGACGACTGAATGGGCTTAAATATGATACATCACTCAATCCACTCCGATTATTATTTGTGGCACCTGAAAAAAAAATGAAAACACTAAACCAAACCCGAAAACAAACTTCCTCCCCATTTTTCAAACGGTCGAACAACAACAGACAGTCGGGAATGAAAAAAAAACTGGAAAAAAACAAAGAAACAAGATTGAACAGGATTCTAAGAACGAGGCTCCAGATTAAGAGTGATTCTAAAGAGTGATTTTAATCTATTTAAATCTAAAATTATAAGTCCACACAATTTAAATTGATTCAACAATTTTTATAATTTTCTTGATCAAATTAAATTTTAATATTATTTTTCAAAACAAGGAGACCAGTGTCGCTTTCAACCAAATGAATGGATTGTGCTCAGCGCTGAAATTTAACGGTTATAGACCATCTAAAGATCGCCATTTGCTTAAACAAACAAGTAGTCTGCTTGAACAACAATGTAAACCTTTTTGCACAACAACTATGCAATTAAATGTTCGAGCTATATTGAAAAAATGGACAGGCCGTATATAAACAATCGTAACTTGTGTAAAAAAGTGGACCTAGATGTATTTCTTCAGGCAGGTAACCCAAAAATTAAATTTGCATTTGAAACAGGAATCCGTGAAGATACTTAGAGCTTTCACTAACACTCACGGAGAGAGCATTTCACACAAACGCCAAGTTTTGCAATTCTTAACTTAAGCAAAAACTAACAGCCAGAAGATGTCTCCGAAATCAGACATGCAATACAATACAGAAATATTCCTAGAAAAAACGTCAAAAGTAACAGGTACTGAGATATATAATTTGTTCTAGTAAGGAATTACTTAAACCAACAGCCTTACCATTTGCAATGATTATTTACACTTCGAAAGTCGATTGTCTGAGAGCGTCGATATCTGCGAAAGGGTATGATACGGTTATTTTGAAATTATTTCAATACTATTTAAAAAAAAACTTTGCAAATAAACTTAGTACGACTAGTGTTGGAAAAACATTAAGCTGAAATTTGAAACCGAAACACAGCAGTAAAAAACGATCGATCATTTTCAACAAATAAAAGTTGATAACGAGAAAAAGTATAGTCCCGATTGGTACACTGATAATCGCATTTGTAACAATTGTCATGCGTGCAGTTGTTGTTAACAACACATGACAATGCTGGAAATGGAAGCCAATTCAAAAGATAAAGATGGTCGGACAGTAGTTTGAGTGAACGCAAGAAGCAGCTTGATTTCGATTTTTCCCGAATGAGATCTGATCTGTTCAAGGCGAACAGAAAACTATGCGAAAGTATTTGAATTCGTCTTCGATAAAACGGAACTGCCACGCATCGGTTTTCAATTCCATTCAAAATTCAATTCAATCTCCTCCAATAAACGGTTGCTAAATGGTTTTCCGAAAGTTACTTTAATTTAGAAGTTGCTGTTTTAGCATGCAAAGAACACACTTCACATCAACTTTTCTTCATTCGCCTAGTTTTCTTTTCGCCCAGACGATATGCCCCGACAACATCTACTTATAGGAAAAGTGCACAAATAAATTATGGAGAAGAAAGTAACCCAGTAGATCATAGTCATCATCACTCGGCCTACCTTGGAAGAGTGTCGAGTAATCAGCACAGTTTACTACACCACTTCTGCGCGGTTCTGCACAAGTGTAAATTGGTGAAAATTAATGCAGAATTGATTTAAATTTATTATTTATAACTGTATTCTATTAAGCTGACCGAAGCTAGTAGTTACACCACCTTATGATTATGCCAATAAAATGATCGAATAAAATCTCTTTTAGTCCCTGTTGTTCACGCTGTGCATTATGTACTGACCAAAAAATCGATTTTGTAATTTATGGCGAGATAAAAATCCATATGCCAAAAACACGATTATAAGTTCATTAGCAAAGTGCGTTTTGGGTTGGTTAAATTGCCAAAGGCTCTAACAAAGCTGTTTCCAGCAACCAATTGCATCTACACTGGTTCCAGGCAGGAACTTAAGACAGAGAACTTCAGAGAAAACAAGGCTGTTCATAGAATACTAAAATCGGCCGCTTATGGGACATGAAATGAGCTGAAGGAGGAAGGCTGCAAATAATTTTTCTTAAATCTACTAGAGGTCTGTAAATTTGAAGTTTTCATACTCGGCCTTCGCAGATCAGAAATAATAAATCTCGATTATTTTTCAAAATGACAAACAAAAATGATTGTATCAAGGCAAACCCCTGAACGTTCCGACTGCCCTTTATCGCCTTTAAAATAGTTCTTGATTTTAAAAAAAATTGCTGAAATTTTGATAAAACTGAATGAAAAAAACTGTACCGATTCTTTTCCAAAACTTAAGTCCAAAATGCAAGTTAAAAGAGCTAAAAAAACTACACCGATATTCGGAACAATTACGCAAAAAAACACTCAGCGCAAATCTAAACAGATCAGTCTAAACCGTTAACTAATGACTATAACAATTGACTACTTTTCAGACGTTTTAAGACTCACTGGCTGCATTGTTGAAGGCGAAGTGCTGTTGGCTGTTCATCTTGTTGTATCCAGATGAGTTAGGCGGGGTGGTATCTGAGGCAGGCGAATGTTGGGACCCTCCCCCTCCGCTTCCCCCCATACGAGACAGACTCATGGAAGACAGCCCAATTACACTGCTGCCTCCCATTTCACTTACTAGAGTACCTGGGAAAATAAGACTGCTGTGGCGAAAAAACTTGTCTCGAAATTTTAAGACTGAATAAAACCATTTCAAACGAGAACTTCTTAACACCTCAGAACTTCTTAAAATATCCCCAATATCCCTACACACATATAACCTAAAATTAAGACCAAAATGGAGGGAAAAAACGAATGTTTTTTTTTTAAAAATTGTTCAAATTTTTTCTTTATTTTTTGTGGCCGGAACATTCTGTGCGACTTGCTTGCACAGCAGTTTGCTCTCCTGCTAATGCTTATTTCTTGTTCATTCTATTTTATTATTCCACAGATTCGATCAGCAACTCAATTCATTGTTAATATTTCAAAAGTTCGCCTTATTCAATGCTCCACCCTTGTAATTTTAAGCAAAATAAAACAGGGCTAAATGATAAGCCAAGAACTCATCGTATTTTAAACTGCGAGTTGTTTTTGTTGTTCTATTTGGCCTATGCGCTATGAGGCATTTCTGATGCACTAGAACAGGTCTTCTACACAATTTAGCGATTTAGAAACATTCGCAAAGAGCGAAGGTCAAATTTTCTATTCATTGTTATAAATGGGAATGGGATACATGAGTCATGAATACGCACTAGTACTTCCAATTGAACTAAGGGAGGACTTGGGCGAAGACATTGAGGATATGGAACCACTTCCGATGCGGGATCTCTTCATATTGTCCGGTGACATCGATGTTGAAAACCTTAAACAATGGCATTTATTGTTCCGACCACCGAAGGCTTCTTTGCCTGAGGCATGTTTTTTTCCACTAGTTCACATACCAAATACAACCATTAGATGGAATCGAGTGATACATTTTATGAAAGATTTTTCAATTGATTCGATCTGCCATGAAAGATGGTGTCAACAAAAAACGCCAATCATTTCGTTTTTTTAGAACAACTTAACGAAGAGCAAAAAGATAATGAATTGGATCTTTCTTTTTCGCCATAAATACTTAAAAGACAAGACTAATATTTTATACATAAATGGTTCTTAAATGATGATTCTCAAATTTAAACGAATCTTCCCCCTAAAACCAAAACAACTCGATTTCAAATTTTTCTGCGTTTGAATTACTTTAAAAATTGTTTTAAGATTTCTTTTCAGACAAAAGTGGCTGAAATAATCTGAGATACTTAAACATCAACCGGCTAGTCTTGATTCCAGGTATTTTCAGCAAATTATTCAAAACCATTTCGATTCATTTGAAAGATTTGTATATTTTGATGACGATACAAGACTGACCTGTGGTTGCCTGATATTAAGCTCCCTACTCCTTGTCCCATGCCCACTGTCGACTGTGAAGAATACATGGAACTTGCCGGCGGAAACTGGAAGGCACTGGAGAGGGAGTGCTTGGACTGGAGGGAGACCTGGCTGCTGCCCGAGGGCGTTCTGTGTCTGCGGGAAGTGGTACCAGAGTGCTTGATGTTTTGGTGCATTATGTGCTGTTTATAACTCTGCTCAAGATCCACAGGCGATGCTATCGTAGCTAAAAATTCCGAATTCGAGCTATTGAAACAATACGATGGGTAATATGCTTTTTAAACAACAATCAGTATCAGTTTTATCAACAACTATTTCATCTGTCATCCCTAACAACAACTAATCAATCATTTATCATTTGAAAAAAAAAAAAAAAACAATTAAAGAGGTAGACAAACATATATACTGCTTAACAGAGAGGCGTCAAGTCATTTGCGAAAATGAAGGAGGAAGTCTGCAAAAATTACCGAAAAAGATTCACTTCGACCAATCAGTGGAAACAAGAATTATTTGTGACGCCTCAAGGTCAAGCTTCGGTGGAGCATTCAGGGGCGGATTTGAGGAAGGAGGGGGGGGGGGGGGGGGGGGAGGGAGGCGGAATCGAATCCCCCTTCAGGGATTCGACCGCCTGCCGACCTAAAGGGGCCCTCTTTGTACTATTTCGAAATATCCATTTTTCGAGCCAATATATACCAACTTTGAGGGAGGAGCGCGCGCGGAATGCTTTTATGGCCTTTTTTTTAATTTTGCCAAAACAGGGACTTTTTAGCGCTTTGGGAGAGCTCAAAAAATCAATTCGGTCGACCTAAAAAAAAGGTCGACTAAAATTTCGAAAGGTCCCCTGGCAGCATTAGAGCAGAAAACATCAGAGCGAGAGGCAGTAATTGCCTTCGCGTCAAGATTTTTGAACAACGACGGAGAAAATATTTGGTAAAGGAATTTGAATTACTCGAAGTAGTTTGGGCGGTTGAGCACTTCAAATATTACATTTATGGTTCTGCTTTCAAGGTCATTGCTGACGACCAGCCTTTGCTCAGTGCTTTGAAGGAGAGCCCGAGATCAAAGAAAATTCATTCACGATTATCACACTGGGTAGATATGATGTTAACCACCAATTTCATATCAAACATCTGCCAGGAAGCAAAATGTAGATAATTGACTATTTGTCTCAAAGCATCCAGTGTTGGTAATCAAAAACAACCTACAGCGAATGATGAGGATTTTTTTGTTACCGCCATATGAGATTATTTGAAACATTGAAAGTCTAGATCGCTCTCAATTGAAGGAACTAGCCAATCAGAAAAGAGAAGCAGTTGGATTGCGTCACCTGATAAACAACGAAAACAAAACCCAAAATGAACAAATACAGCTCAAACGCAAATCAAAAATTCACACAGCGTGTCAAGTCAGACTTACAGAACAAGAATCCTTTTCAAAAATAGCAATTCATAGCCAAAAAAAAACAATTACACTGCGACTACAGAACAACAGATCATCGCACAAATATGTCAAAGACGAAACTAAAAACTGGCATGTCCCTGAAAAAATACCAACACAGGAAAAAGCTGATTGAAATTTAAAAAATAAAAAACAGGACGATCTAGATAAATGCACGAAAGAGATGGAATCGATCTAGACAGAAACAGACAGGAGCCAACAGAAAACCACAAAACAAACCAAATCGAAACAAAAAGAAACTGGAGACACAAAGGCGAGGCTGTGCTTCGCAAACACTTGCGAGAATACGACCAAAAAGCAGCTCTATCAAGTGACAAACAAAAAAGTTGAAATAGGCCTCGAAATCGCCAAAAAAACTAGCCACCATTAACGCAGCTACATGTGCTAAAAAATTGCCCATTCGATGCAGTAGTACCACCAAATACAAAAAAAGCACAATTTTGCATGTAATAAAGCGCAAAGCATAAAGCTACAATATGCACACAGAGGCAAAGCGGAGCTTCGCACCACTTTCGATGCAACACAATCATAAAAATTTTGGATGTTGAAAAAAAACAAGGTGCACCAAAATTTTTGTATGTCTCGATAAAAACAACTACGAGCCCAGCTAAAGCTGGGGTACGGGTTTATTATTGAACGAATTTGCTATACTGATGCTGCAAAAATTTGACTTTGCCTAAAACCTTGGTTGTTTCTCTACTAAAATAATTAAGAATTTTTGAGATAATCAATTTTCCCGAGTAGATGATTTTCTCTTAAAAAGAATTAAAGAATCGCCTCTTCTGTAGAAACAATTCTCCCAACCAGTTCTTTACATGGGACTCAGATTTGATTCTGTGAATTATAATAAAGCTCAAAAAGTTTTCAAAAAATGGTCGAAGGTTCTTAAGACGTTCAAAAGCCTTTCCAAAATCCATAACATTTTTCTGCAAACTTCAGGTTATGACCGCTTAAGCCGACAAAATTTCCAAAGCCGGGTTTCTCGATTGAACATAAACTGAGAATTGGACCGGTAGTTTTCGCGTAAAGTCAATAAGTTTCCATAAAAACTGTCAAAGTTTCAAAACTCTGATTTGTTTGAAGGCCCTAAGTATTTTCTTCATCAAACTGGGCATATCCAATTATGAGGGAAGACTTTCACCAACCTGTTCATTCGGTTAAACCTATAATATCAGATTTGGCCGGATAGTTAGCAAAAAAAAATCCAGAAAACGGTCAACAAATCAAAATTTGACGGTTCCGAGCATTATCGCTTTTTGTGTAAAAAAAATAATGCAGAAACCTTATGCAGAAGGAATTAGTGCAACCTGTAATTTCGATTGAACCCGGAATCTCAAATTTAACAGGGTAGTTTTCGAGAAAAGTCAAAAACTTTCAAAGAAAAAACGGTCATAAAATCAAAAATTTGAACTTTCAGAGGGCGATAACTTCCTGTGAAAAATTTTTTGATAGTGTCCGTTAATGAAGAGGATTATGCATTTCAAAAAATTACCAGATATTATTGTTGTTCTTTGAAACAAATGGCTTTTTTTCGCTTCATTAAATGAATTAAAAATGCATCAACTGTGTAGTACGATTCGAATGCCAAAGCACATGCTATCAATAAGCTGTAGAAGTGCCCCAAAATTGACTCCAATGTTGTCGACTTAGGTTGGAAAAAAAGAAAGTTCGTACTAATACACTCTGCTTCGCAAGTGCAAATGAAGAACACAATGCAGGTCAAAGCTACGCAGAGGGGCAAAATAATTCGGTCTAAAGCCAAATTGAAAAAAATCAGCCATATCAGACAACAATCCAAAATAATTGTGTTCAGTATTCACTCCGAGTCGGACAATGATAACGGAGGACAAGGAAAACGAGAGAAACAACAACGTCAGAGGAGGGCGAGCCCATACAAAAAAGCAACCAAAATAGACAGGAGTAAAAGGAAGGAAGCAGCAGAGGAAACTACGGAAAAACTAACACGAGATGCTTCTTCCGCCAACTGGGCAAGGAACACAGAACAGGAAGAGGAGTAATCGTTAACATGGACAGAACCAAGGACGCCAATGTTAAAATGACCAGTAAATGCAAGTGAAGAAAAACAGGGCGACGAGGACATGGACACACCACAAACCACTGTCAATACTCACAAATCGAATACAAACTGGTCACACAGTGACTCCAGTGTAGTTGTGAGCCTAGATGACTGGAATGATCAACAAAAAAAGAAAGGCAAAAAAAAGGAAATAGAAAAGGAAACGCTGACAGACACAAAATGGAACAAGAAAGAGAAGACAGTACATCCGAACAACACAGCTATCCAACAGACAAACACACCATGATCTAAGTTTCCGTTTGTTAGAGGTCAACATGAGCGCGAATACAAATATAAAAAGAAATAGAACGAACCAGCTGGTGGCAAAAACCTCCCAACAAGGATACAAATAACACCACGAGACGAACAGTTTAAGACGACCCGCTATATTGAAGAAACCAACAGTAAAAGCTAAGGATGGAGTACAAAGAGAAAGCCTGCAGAAATTACAGATCTCCACGCGCTCCTATCCTTAGTAAAATTATACTTTTCCGGCCGCACATATACAATATCCGAGTTATACAATATCCGAGTGAATTGTTTGTTATAAGATGACATGGTGATACCAGAGCCAATGAGTAAGAACGTGTTGGACGCGATCCACCTAACACCCTGGACAGACAGCGATGCTGAGTATCACGAACAGATCCTGATTTCCGAGAATCAATCGAGAAGTTGCGCTGACGGCACAAAATTGCAAGGAAAGTAGAGGAAAAGACGAAAATTCAAAAGCATTTAAAAATGAAAACAGCAAAACGCATACATATTGACAGCTGAAGACAAATTTTCAAAATACTCAAATGCAAAGGTAGTCTAGTCACCACCACAACGGAAGACACTTCTATTGGTTTTATGCAAGATATAAATTTTGGTGTACCCCAGAAAAAACGTTGAGATCAAGCAGCTCAGTGCCCAAAGTTTCAGTTATATTAGCGTTCCCAACGCAGTAAAGCTGCTTCGACAAACACAGATCTTTCAGACATACTAGAACAGAAGGCAATATAAAGTTCCAAGACAGTTACGATGAACAAATGGATTCATGTAAATAGATTGATGCACGGGGAAATTGTCTTATTTATAAAATATATTCAAAAAGACCGAAACTAAATGCAACCGTAAGAATATCAAAAAGCCTATTACCCGTTGGCAAAACTTGCTATCGCAAGTGTAACATTTTTGAAAACGATCTGTTTAGACACAATTGACCTTTCTATGCCAGCATTAAATCGAACGGATTTTTAAACATTACAGTGCTTAAAACTTTAAACATAGATCCCATAGCAGTTGAAAACGAGTTACAACTAAAATATAGCAAATATTCGTCAACTTATTCGCAAATATTCGAAAAAAACGTCAACTTTCAAAATAAAAACAGATGATCTTAAAGCTCTTTGAATTAAAAAAAAATTATCATTGTCAATTTTCACACAAAGGCGACACTGCGCTTCGCAAATACTAGCGAGAAATCGACAAAAAAGCAGCTCTATAAATTGGAATAATAAAAAAAAACCAGATAGGTAAAAGTTTTGCTACTAGACGGATTAAAAGTTTAGCAGGCGACTTGAAGATTAAGAGTCTCACGTCCTTCCCGCTCGCCCACGGACGTTTAACCGCCGACAACATTAGCCACAAAGAAAGCAGAGAACATTCTATGAAATTTTTAATGCTACAGACCGTGATTATAGCAAAGTTGCACCAAATTGAAAACTTTAATTTGCGAGCTACTTTGGAAAAAAGCAGGTTCAGACTAAAACACGATGCTCACAAGCTGGCTAGTGAAATGATAAAATTAAGCAAAATTGAAAAAAAATGGATTAATAGGCTAATTTTTTTATTCCGCTAGCATTTCGAAAATTAAAATCCATCTTCGAAACTAGAAGTAAGTCGCTCACGTTTTTCGTGGCCTTTGAAACTTTTGTTTTCCTTTCAGCAAAGGAATGATTTTAACTTTGAAAAAAAAAAACAATCAAACCACGAAAAATCAAATTTGAGCGTGAACAAATTTCAAGACTTTCCTCAAATAACAAACAATTGCAACCTAACAGAAAAAAGCCGCTTCTACAGAAAAAATTCTCGCAACCGTAAGTCGCCGCTTCTACAGAAAAAAAAACTCTCGCAACCCGTTCTTTCGATTGAATCCTTTATCTCAGATTTGATTGGTCAAAAAGTTTCGAAAAACCGGTCAAAATTTCCGAAATCTGACTTTCCGAAAACCATAACTTGTTTTGTGCAAAACAATTTCGTGGCCGGTTACGCTGAGAAGATTCGCAAAACCAATTTTCTCGATTGAACTTTTACCTAAGAATTGGCAGGGTAGTTTTAAAGAAAAGTTGAACAATTTCCGGAAACCACTCAATTTTCAACACTTTGCTGAAGGCCATGACTTTTTAAGTGGGCCTAGCCGTTCATGCAGGGAGGCTCCCAGCAATCCGTTGATTCGATTAAGCCCTTGATATCAGAATTGGCAGGATAGTTATCGCGAAAAGTCAAGTTTCCAAAACACGATCAACATATCTCCAAACTATGAGCTTTCCGAAGGGCATAAATTTTTGTGTAAAAATTGGGCGTAGCCTTAAAGGCAGGGGAACACCACACAACATTTCATTTCGACGTAACCCAAAATATCAGACTTGAATTTGTAGTTTTCGAGAATAAATTTGACTTTATTGATTTCCATAAATTTTCGTTAAAAAAATTGGGCATAGCTTCTTAAGCAGGGGAGCTTCTGACAACTCGTTCTCTCCAATGAACCACAAAACCTTAGATTTACGAAGATAGTTTTAGAGAAAAGTCAGAAACGTTCAAGAAACGGTAAAAACAATCAAATATTTAGCTTTTCCGGTGGCTATGACTTTTTTTGAGAAAAATGAGCATATCCGGTAATGCAGCAGAGCTTCCCACAACCTGTTTTTTCCATTGAACACAAAAGCTGAGATTTGAGAGGGGAGCATCCCAGATTTGGTAGTTTAGTTTTTGAGAAAATTTTAACCATTCACAACAACAAAAATCTTACTTTTCATAAGACTAACTTTTCGTGTAGAAAATTATGGTTGTTGCCGCTAAGGCAGAGGGGCTTTTCACAACCGGTTCCCTCCATTGAACTGAAAATCTGAAAATTATGAGGTTATTTTTCGAGAAAAACCCAAAAAGTTCAAATATTTGTCTTTTCCAAGAGCGATAATTTTTTCTGTAAAAAACTGGGCGTAGTTGCTAGTCAACCAAGCCTCTCAAAACATTTTCTCTCCATTGAACCCAAAATCTGAGATTTGGAAGGATAGTTTTTGAGAAAATGGTCAAAAATCCCCGTACCGACTTTTTCGAAGGATGTAGAAAGCGGGTTTAAGTAAACAAAAATACCAGACGTACATGCACACACACATGGGAGTGGGCGGTCTGTCCATTGAAACCACTTTTTTGGAAATCGAATTGAAATTTTCACAGAAAACAAAATGAATTTTTTGAGAAGAGTGAAAAAATTTTCCAAAGCGTCTAAAAATAATAATGAAAAACCGACCCCACTTTCATAATACCTATTTTTATCAAACAAGAATTTCGCCGTCGAAACAGGGCAATTTAGGATGACTAATCTCATATAACATAATCTGAAAGAGTTTGAAAAAATAAAGAAAAAATAGAAAAAAATCAAAATCAGAATTTTACAAATTACTTAACAATTTTCTTTTCAATTATAGTATTGCCTGTTTAAATTTAAAAACACTCTTTGGAAATTCGGTTGCTACAAAAGTGTACAAACTCATTGCAATCTGAAAAAAAAACGGAAAATGAGCCGATGGAAATAAGGAAGAAAACCACGAATCCAAAGAAATTTCAACTTTTTTCAAAATATCATTTGAAAAACTATTCACTTACTACGATGAACTAAGGGGTAATTTATTTGAACTTTCTACTTCTGCAGTCTCTTGAGGGTAACTGCAGCAGTATTTTAAATTAGCAGCACTTGAAAGTAACAGCACATTTGTAAGCAAAGTTGTTTTCGGGAAAAAAGTCAAGTTCCCGATTACAAGTCGCAAGTGAAAAAGACTCTTCACTAAACTCATTGAGTCATAATCATTTACTATGCGCCACTGCCTGGAATCGATGCTATTCATATTAACACATTGCTTTCGTTAGTGCACTCATATAATCTAAATACTTCTCAAATCTACGTTTTACTAAACAAAATTTAGTTTAGTAAGACTCAACTTACCAAACTGTCCTTGACCGTGCAGTGGACTCTGGAAGGGGTATCGCTCGGGTAGCAGAGACTTCGGAGTGCTAGGCGCCAGTGGACTAGTCGAGTCCTAAATCACATTTTCAGTCATTCTTAGACTGGGCACCTGTTTTTTAGATCATTTACTTTATAGTGTCCAGATACTGCTAACAAATACGTCTTTCTTTAAGGCTGTAACTCCTTCACATGCAGCAGCTGAATGTTATCGCATTCAAAGAGATTTTTTTAATCAACTAAAACCTATAATTGTCAGAGCCCACAATTTAATTTCAACTTTGGATCATTTAACTCTGAACAACCCTCAATCCACTTACACTGTTATTGCTGTTTGAGAGCGAGCTTCTGGCCCTAGTGGATGCAGTGGATGAGTTGGGTGCACTTGGTCTGGCGTAGGTGGTAATTTTAGACTCGCCGATTGAGTCACCGGACATGCTGGTCTTGCTCTGACTCAATTTTGACACCATTTTTGACCCTGGAGAGGGCTTGATGCCTGGACTCTTCAGAGATACGTTGAGGTACTTCTTGTCCTAAACCGGTGACTAGTTATTTTTATCAGACTATCAAAGGTTACATTCTTATTTTGTGATTCAACAATAAAACACAGAAGCGATGCTGCGTTTCGCTAACACTAGCGAGAAAACGGCAAAAAGTAGCTCTAAACAACAAAAATAGAGTGAAATAAGATAAAGATAGCCAACAGAAAGTTGTAAAATAACCAATGAACTCAAGGGGACAGACAAAAAACTGACTTGAAGTTCAGAGTTAAAATATATATAACCTCTTTGAATTTTCAGAACAATTTATGATTGACCCTTTTTTTGATAAAAATTAACTCAATTTGAGAAAACTTTTCAACAGGAACTTAGCCACCAATTAAGCATCACCAGATGTTTAGAAAGATACCTGTTTGCGAATATACCAAAAAAAGCCATTAAAAAGCACTTTATTTGCCAGGTGAAAAATAAGTTGCACCGTAGTCGGAGGCGTGCGCTGAAACTTTTTTGGATCGACCAATTTGATTGTCAAAACTCTCTGAAAACACTTGTCATAGTATCTAAATTTAGTTCATGTTTCAATTCTAGTCGTGTTATCTATTTCAATTATCTGTCTGGCGCTAACCGGTATTTAACCTTCGGAGTTTGTCTGTCACCTTTGGATGACAGCTATTTTATTGTCTCCGACTAACTTTATGAACTACGGTTACTTACTAAACAGGAATTAATTGACACCTCGAAACCGTCTTTTCACATGGCGCAGCCAACAGGCCAAAGTGGGGGGGGGGGGAAACCCACTGGGAATTACATCGTTTTGGCCCTCGACGCTTGCAGAGCCACCAATGCTATGGGAGTTTTGGTTCAATCGTTTTATATGGGGGATGGTGGCCAAACATAGTATAAATCCACGGAACTTCTATTATGCCAGTACGTTAACAGCAGCGCAAATTGCAGATTTACCAGAGGAGGTAGACGGGAAAAATCGCCTGGCGTCGGAGCAAACGCTTATCTCGAACTTGTATTTGTGTCTGGGGGAGAAAGGACAGGATGAGCTACATAAAAGAAAACCACACCTGGATTTAGCTGCAACAAGGTATTCTCGAGTTTTGGATACTATTGAAACCGAATTTCGGAAGGAACGAAACGAAACTTACGAGACATTCCAACTATTGGCACGCAAACAACAAATAGGAGAATCGCTGGAACAATTCCACTCAGTGTTGAGTGGGTTAGCCGCTCGATGTAATTTTGGAGCATTGGAGACCAGGATTTTGCGGGATGTGTTCATTGTAAATGTGAACAATAGGGAGGCCCAAAATGAGCTATGTCGCTCGACGAAGACACCAGAGGAGGTGTATCGTATTGCACTGTCATATGAACGTGGATACAAATATGCTAAGTCATACGGATCGATAACCGGGGGAGGAACTAGTGGCACGGCCGGCGGAGCTGGCGCGTTCCAAATCAAGACGGAACCAGTGGGGGCCATCCGAGGAGGTTACAGTAACAACAGACAGCGGGGCCGCGGATCGTTTAGGGGGAGAGCAGACATGAGAGGGGCTGGTTCCAGAAGATGCTATAATTGTGACCAACCCAATTTTACTCCGGAACACATCACAACGTGTCCAGCGAAAAATGCTACGTGTAATTTCTGCAGGAAGACGGGACATTACGAGAGGACTTGTAGGGGAAAGCGAAATAATCGGGGAAGACCGGCAGTGGGACTGATCCAAAATCAGGAAGATATGGAAACTACTGAAGTAGACGACGCGGAGGATACATATTCCCAGCACGAGAATTCCGTTGGCTGGGTTAATACACCGGTCAAGAAGCAACGATCGTGGGATTCGGATAGCTCAGGGGATTACGTTGTCATGGCTATCAGATCTCGGAAAGAAACAGATCTAAAAGTGGCCGGGTCCCGACTACCAATTAAGGTAAACGGGAAGCAAACAAACGTGTGGATAGACAGTGGATCACCGATTTCGATATTCACCATTGGGGAATTGAAACGGACGTTGGGCACCGCAGGCGTCAAGGTGAAGACACCGGCACCGGAGGACGAGGAGTTCAGGGATTACGAAAACAACCCATTACGACTACTAGGAACGATGGACGTACTGTTGGAAACGAACGGATGGGTGACCAACGCAAACATTAGAGTGATTGGAGGAAGCAGACCATCAATTATCGGAAGAGACCTAATGCCAAATCTTGGATTGCAGATAGTGCAGAAGGCACCGGAGGAAAATGTGATGTCGGTACAGAACGATCAACTCGCGGCCGAAGCAACGGAGGTGGAGAACTCACTAGACAACTGGCAGATCTATTTCAGTAAGCAATTTGAAAATCTTTTTAACAGGGTCGGAAAAATTAAGAATTATAGGGTACACGCGGATTTTTTTGAAACGTTGACACCAATTCAACAAAAAGGACGTAGAGTGCCAATCACATTGCAAGAAAAGGTGGATAAGGAAATTGACAAACTGTTACAACAAGGACACATTGAAAAGCTAAACGAATGTTGGGATAAATATTTTGTTTCCCCGATTGTAATAACAGTGAAAAAGGACGGATCAGTAAAATTAGCGCTAGAATCACGGGAGTTGAACAAGCAAGTCCACAAGAACAAATACCAAATGCCGAATATTGAAGAGCTTATGGATACGGTAGGACAAACGATAAGCGAACGGAAACCAGGGGAGATATATTTTTCTACCATGGATCTTACGTACACGTACGGTCAATTACCACTTAGCCCGGAAACTAGCATCCAATGCAATTTTTCGCTGGTGGGAGGAAAATCAACGGGCACGTATCGTTTTCGTACGGGGTTCTACGGCCTTACAACCATGCCGGCGGAATTTCAACGAGTAATGGATACGATTCTTTCGGAATTTCCGCAGGCACATGCATTTATTGATGACATTTTGGTGGTCACCAAAGGCACGGAAATTGAGCATATCTCAACAGTTGAGAAAATTTTGCGGAAGCTGGATCGCGAAAATATGTCACTTAAGCTCATTAAATGCCAATTCGCGCGTAAAGAATGTGAATGGTTGGGGCACAAAATAACTCGTACCGGAATAACACCGCTCGTCCGGAAAACGGAACCAATCGAATCGCTGAAAGCACCAAAAACGGTGTCACAACTTAAATCATTCATGGGCTCCATTCATAGCTTGCACAAATACCTTCCGGCGCTCGCGGGATCATCAGCGTCATTACGCCCATTATTAAGCCGGAAAAACGATTATATTTGGAGCGATGAATGTCAAATATCATTCGAAAACCTGAAAAAGCAAGTGGCTAATATAGTAGAACTCCGGCATTTTGATGTACACCGGGACACAAGAATTGTGTGTGACGCCAGTCATAACGGGCTCGGAGCGGTTCTCGAGCAACTAAATTCCGACGGCTGGCGGCCGATATCATTCGCATCCCGGTATTTAAACGCAGCAGAGAAAAATTATTCAACGAATGAATTAGAGATGTTGGCAGTTGTGTGGGGGGCGGAATATTTCCGCAATTATGTGCTGGGAAGGAAATTTTTAGTAGTTACGGATCATAAGGCACTAGTGTCACTGCTAAATGGGAACAACAAAAAGAACAAAACAATGTTCAGCAGATTAACAAGATGGTTAGATCGTCTTATACCGTTCGATTTTCAAGTAGAGCATAAACCCGGAGCAAAAATGGGACTCGCTGATTATCTCTCAAGGCATCCGAGCTTAGAACCTCAACCGATTAGCACCTACGATAGTATGTTTACGGTGGCGAAAATTAGTAGAATTAGATCCGCCCTCGGATTTAAAAAGAAAACCTTCTCCAAAAATAAACTCGAGTCTCCATCGGTTACTAATAATAGACGCGTTTGTAATATATCGAATAGAAAACGACCGGTAGAGGGCGAAAGATCATGCGACGGAAATTGGGCCAATCACAGAGCGACGAATTGCATTTCCGGCAGGTCAATTGAGTCTAGCAAAAATTTAGTTGGGACTATTATTGAAGCTAACTTTAGTTATTCAAAATCTTTAAATTCGTCAATAAACAATCACAATTCAAGCAATTTAATCATGGAAAGGAAGATCAGGAAATTATTGGAACGACACCCTAGCATTAGTAGTAGCGATGAAATAGAGGAGATTGATGTAAATATACAGGCGGTTACAACAGAAGTCCGGAGCACTAAAACAAATACCATTATTTCTATTCCGTCGGTTTACCCTGGCGAAAGTTATCCACCGGTTAACCCGGAAAATAAGGTCATGTCTATTATTCCAAGAAATTGTAAAATAGTCAGTAAACAAACCGCTCTTCCCGAATTGTTTAATCTTCGATTTATAGAATCGCAATACAAGTCAGATCCACAGTTACAAGCCATTATCGAGTTAATTAAATGTAAAGACCCTCAGTTACACTCAAAAATTGCAGCGATGAGTAAGTACTTTGCACAGTATACTCAGGATTTCCACGTAAGAGACGGATGCCTGTGGATGGACGAGAGGCTAGTGATCCCTAACACCTTGCAGACGGCGGTGGTCAATAGACTTCACTATTATCACCACGGAAAATCAAGCATGTTCGACGCGGCTAAGGACATCTGGTACCCATACATGTTCCGTAGTCTAGCAACTATCGCCGGGAATTGTCCGGAATGCACATTAGCGGGTAAGAACTTGAAAAACATGTGTTCAAAGGATGATATAGGGAAAATACCTGAACCAAAAGAGCCGAATGAATCAATACAGTTGGATTTTTGGGGACCCATTAACTACTTGAAGGAGTCTAAAAAGTATGTCTTGGTGGCGGTGGACCGGTTCTCAAGATGGCCATCAGCTATGGTCTGTAATTCGAACCGATCGGATAAAATTATAAAATTTTTAAAAGCTTACATAATTGCCCATGGAGTCCCGCGCCAAATTAGAGTTGACCAGGGAACAAACTTTATGTCTAAGGAAGTTAAAACGTTTTGCCATGAACAAGGAATTGAAATCCTCACTTCGCCAGTGAATGATCATAGGGCAACAGGATGTGTCGAGCGCACGATTGGTAGCATCAAGAATTCAGTGCTGACGTATGCGCGGGAGGATAAACCGGAACCCTTGGATCGAATGGTTGAAAGAGCCCTCGGAGCCCTAAGATTTGTGAAAAACGCATCTCTCAACATAACACCGTTCGAAGCGCACCACGGCCGGGAAGCTAATACGGTCCTCAGAAATTTGACTAAAAAACCTACTTTACGGAACCTAAATTGGGAAAATGTAATACGATCGAAATATGAATGTTTAGATGAACGAGACCCGATCGCCCAAGCAATGCCGGAGCCGATGGATACCAACTGGGGAATCCGATCGGATACTGAGTATGACCGGAAAAACAGACGGGGACCACTAAAATTGGCCGATGAACAAGCCGCTAATCAAGATGACGAGCCTGGAATTGCACGGGCACCAAACGACCCAGTGGAGATACCACCGGCAGTGGTAATGCAGAGGACCGGGGAGCGGAACATGAATAGGTATAGACCATTAAAATCCAAAATAGTTGATCAAACTGAACATACGATTAAAATGAGTAACGGTGCGGTGCTTAGGAAATCAGGAGTAGCGCTCAGGAAAGCCAAATTTCCGAAAAAACGGGTGCCGGGAGGACAAATAACTGCACCACCAACGCCGTGGGATCTGAAACGGAAGCTACTAATGAGTAGAAACCATCCAGGCAGTTCGACAGGAAATCAACCAGGAAACTCAAAAGGCACCAAGAAAAACTTTCACAGCATCATGGGGAAGGGAGCAAGATTCCGAAATTTGGAATCCGCAGAAAACTCAGATTCAGAATCGGAGGACCATTTACCGTTAAGCACAACTAAACTAGTTGCGAAACAGACAAGTGGGCGAGTAAACGGTGGGGAAGATGGACAGGGAACATCTAGTGGGGGACGGGATCAAGTTCAACCCGAAGTCATCACAGTTCGTCCCAGCAATGAGGAGACGGCAAAGGAACACACGTTGGCATGTGAAACAGGAATCGAAAATGACCGGGGGAGAGCAAATACCGAAGGAACCGAACCACAAGAAACGGAGCGCGAGCCAGAGCATATACCAGTAACCGGGGGGAGGAAGCGGGGTCGGAAACAACGACTTGTTTCCTATTCAAGCCAAGATTCGGCCAGTTCATTAGATGAAACAAGCTCAAGACGGTCGGGCAGGAAACGGACAGCAGTGACTAAGATGGGGGAGTCATGATTGACAATATTAGAAAGACGGACAAAGCCGGAGCAGTTGAAGAAAAGGAGTAAAAAGGAGATGAGTAACATGGAGTCCAAAACAAACTTATAAAACTTTGCTGAAATGGGGAGGTCCAGGGAGAGGGCACGCTGTGTAACGGCAAAAACTCAAAAGTTTGTGTTTTAAAAGGAATTGTAGCTGATTGGAAAAACTTGTTATTAACCCTATTGTTCACTGTTAACATAGATACATTGGATATTGGATTTGAGTTATTATTTATTACAAGGAGGGAAATGTCATAGTATCTAAATTTAGTTCATGTTTCAATTCTAGTCGTGTTATCTATTTCAATTATCTGTCTGGCGCTAACCGGTATTTAACCTTCGGAGTTCGTCTGTCACCTTTGGATGACAGCTATTTTATTGTCTCCGACTAACTTTATGAGCTACGGTTACTTACTAAACAGGAATTAATTGACACCTCGAAACCGTCTTTTCACACACTGTAAGAACCCTATTTTGTCGAAAAATGTCTCCGCCGAAGGCAAATTTTTGAAAAAATACCTGCTAAAAATGACAGTTTATGCACTTTTAAAAGATTTGACAAAACATTGCAATTTTTTGGCACGCTGATGATCCTTGTTTTAAACTACGCTTGTGAAACACTGCGAATAATATTCACTCTGAGTATGTCAAGTTTTTATGCGGTCTTCAAATTCATTCGGGTATGTATGTTCATTATTGCTCGGTATGTAATCTTTCATTGTTGATAATTGGTATTCAATGCATTCAGATCACAAACAATATGTCGATCTGAATAAAAAAAAATTTTTCTGGCATACGATTGGGAAGGTGTGATATTATTCAAGTAGTACACACCACTTTCGAAGAAGGCTGCTTAAGACTGAAGTTCGAATCCCTGGGCTCCAACTGCAGAGACATGTCGTACAATTTGTCCGCCCATTCTCCTTCTGTGTGAGATCCCACTGGGTCTTGACTCTGGAGGTATGCCTGGATTGATTCCATTGGTTTCAGGTTGTACGGCATCGGCTGGTACATCATAATTGCCCTGCACTGTGTTGAAATGAGCCGACATTTGGAGAAGTTGATCAATGTGTTGCTAGTATGAGTCTTAGCTGAGTCTTCGATATGAAGAACATTTGTAAAGGTATTTCCTGAAAGTTTCAACTTTATCAAGAGACAAATTTTTACGAAGGGGTACAAAGAATTCCAAGATTTTCCTGCTTTGACTGAAGCTGAAGCCCTTAAAATGACCAATTACTAAAAAATTAGATATGGTATTTGTCTTCCAAAAATGGCGTTCTACTTCTGTTTATCTACGCAGCCAGCATGGCCAAACATCTACTTGTCTGAAACCTACCTAAATAAGGCACGAGTGGTGGATTTGTCTTCTTCAGAGCGTCCTTGTAAAACTTGAGATTGCTGTCGATGTACTTCGAAATCAGACCGTGTTTGATGTCTTTCGTCTCTTTTGGAAGTTTCTAAATCAAAATGAATTTCAGATATAGTTAGAAAAATAACTTCACCACTTGCGGTACAACACGAACATTAAAAATTTAAATATTGAAAAAAAAGGTAAACCACAACTTTTAGGTCTCGATAAAAACAACAAGGGGCCCAGCTGAAGCTAGAGATGCGCGCTTCATATTGAATGAATTTGCTAACAGATGCAGCACTAAAAATTTTATTTCAAAAACTGTACTTTGCCCAAAACCTTAGGTGTTTCTCTACTAAATTAAGTATGAAGAGATAAAACTGTGAGATTATCAATTTTCCCAAGAAAATAACATTTCTCGTTCAAAAAATTAAGGACACAACGCTTCTCCAGGAACAATTATCGCAACCGGTTTTTGGATTGAACTTTTCATCGCGATTTGATTGAATAAATTTCAAGAATATTCAAAAAATTTCTAAAAACGGTCAAAATTTCTAAGAAACGGTCGAAATACTTTCTAAAACCGAGAACGTTTTTCTACAAAAGCAAGTTATGGCCGCCTAAGCAGAGACGATTCCCAAAACCGGGTTTCTCGATTGAACACAACCTGAGAATTGGCAAGTCGAAAAGTTTTCAAAAACTGTCAAGTTTCAAAACTTTGACTTGTTTGAGAGCCATAACTTTTTTCTTAAAAAACTGGGCATATCCAATTATAATTGTAGGCTTTCAACAACCTGCTGTTTCGATTAAACCTATGATATCAGATTTCGCAGGATAATTTGCGAGAAGTCCAAAAACGGTCAACAAATCAAAAGTTTGAATTACCGAGAATGATAGCTTTTTGTGAGAAAAAAAATAAGGCGTAGCCTCTTAAGCAGAAGGAATTCACGCAATCCGTAATTTCAATTGAAACCAAAATGTCAGATTTCGAAGGGTAGTTTTCGGGAAAAAACTTCCAAAAAAAACAGTCAAAAAATCCGAGGGCAAGAGAAAGCTTTGCGAGTGGCCGCTAATGCAGCGGAGATTCCCGCTGCCCGTTGTCTCCATTGTAACCACAATATCTCGTTTGAGAGGTTAGTTTTCGAAAAAGTCAAAAAGAATCACAAAACCGTCAAAGATCAAAATTTGAATTTTCTGAGGGCCATAACTTTGCGTACAAAAATTGGGCGTAGACGCATAAACAGGTTTTCGAGTAAATAAAAAAATATCAAAAATATGGTTTAAATATTCCCCAAAAAATATGGATGAAAATATTTCGCCACAATTTTTTCGAAGGCTGTAGACAGAGGGGCGAAGTAAAAAGGGGCTCTAGCGGAGTATGCAGGCTCATAGTGGAGTAAGCGGTCTTTCAATTGATACCCCTTTTTTGAATATTGTAAATATGCCTGAGAAAATCGTAGATGTTTTTGAGACAAAAATTTTACCAATAAATTTGGAAATAATTTTTTATAACGAAAAAAAGCATTTCAACAAACCGATTGAAAAACACACAAACACCCTTGAAAAGTGCGGAGGCGAGTGTTTAAAATATGTTTCCATTGATACGACCCAAAATTAGGTCGTTAAGCCGATATAAAATAGTCCGAAATAGTTTGCGACAAGGAATTTTTTTTAACGAATTAGAAAACCACAGGAAATACAAAGCCAAGGTAAGTAAAATTACTTTTGTAGGAGTAAATCAAACACTAAAAGCAATATTAAAGTTAAAAGCACGCAGCGAAAAAAACGATAACAAGATGTGACAACTAGGCCGACAAGAGATAACAGACAAATAAATGGCCGATAATTTTATTTGAAAGAATATTTCCCGTTTGAAAAAAGAAACACGTCCTGGTCAGATTCGAACCCAGGACCTTTGCCGTCCAAGGCATATTCGTTACCTCCAGGCTAAATTAGCTGGGAACGCATAGAAATTTGCATTCATAATGGACCAAGATAAGTGATTCAACTGATTCTGTTACACAAGTTGTTAACCCGAAGCGTAATGAAAGAATCCGTAAACTCATGCAAATCATTTTGTGGATAACGAAAAATTGGATGATAAAAGCTGTTCTGGTTAAGTGTTTTCCACTTTATAATTTATTGCGAGGCTTTTTCGAACACCTAATTCCAGCAATTCTTCGTGTGTTTACATGTGTACTATCAATTCCACGTCAATCGCTGCCTTTTATGAAAAACTGATGATAACCAAGTGATCTTGATTGAATTAACCTCGTGTGTGAGTTTGAGTCGACTGACAGCCGAGTAGTTCAATCCCGATATGACGTGCAGCACTCCCGAGAAGTTGTTGAGTTCCTCCAGCGCCTGTGCGATCTCCCAACCCCTAACCAGCAGAGCCAGTCTCTCCTCCAAAGCAGGCGTGTCCAGGATACTGAACGTGAGCCAGTAGCTGATCTGAACATGGCGCAAACTGGTGCTCAAATTATTTAAAAACGCTTCCTTTCAAACTTCAGAAAAATTGTCAGACTACGTTGTATCAGGGGCGCATTTTCTTGAGGGATTTACAAAAAGAAACATTTAAAAAATGTTGTCGAATTTTCTTAGGTCGACCAAAATGATTTTACAGACTTTAAACTTGCTAAAGAGACCCTCTTTGTCCACATAACTTGCGCCCCAGGAAATTTTTGAAGACAAACTAACCAAAAATTATCGGAAGGAAATCTTAGAATTATAAAAAAAAAAATGGGTTAGTTTTCAATCACTTTGATGACCAACGCATCATTTCTGCGCATCGCCATACCTTATTGTTGAAATTCTGCCATGCTACCACATTGGGGAACATTCGTCGCTTCTGGTCTCTGTCCTTAGAGGAGCAACAGCCGAAGTTGGTCAGCTCACTCAGGGTAACATTGCGGAACATCTCCGACTCTATCAAGGTGATCTGACGCGCTATCTCCAGAGGGTGCAGCTGAATAGAACACAATGACCAATTAATTACTTGTCCAAAATCGAAACAAATATATCCTCAATCTTCTTTACCCCCCCCCCCCCCCCCCCCCCAACAAAATCAGAAGTAAGGCAATATAAAACTCTCACTGGCGTTAGATTTTTCGTCGGAACTAGTGAACACCTTAGGCTTATTCAAGTGCTGAGTTCTCCTAAGTCGACTGTTTACCGTAATTAAATTGAATGTGCTGGGATCCATAGGAGTCGCTAAGTGCCACTCCACCCTGGGCGCATTCTCATTGCGCACTATTTCCGGCTTCTTTTTCACGTCCTCCGCCTGGTTGTTGAGGAGCTTCCGTATACTGGCACAGTAGTTCTTCCACTTCTTGTTCTCTGACACTTCCTGGATGAAGTTGTGAACTAATCCTAGGAGCGCGGGATCCTTTTTGAAGTCTTCGTAGTGGTTGTTGATCCAATACCGCATCACATTCAGAACTCTGTCAAATATCAGAAAATATAATCCCGATGATTCGAAAAGGTAGCTGTCATCAAACTAATTCTAGTTATACTTTTTAATCGGCTCACTGATTGCTGACTCATAGGTTCAAACCATTAGCATCAAATATTGCTTCATATAGCTCTTATTTCAATTCCGCCACAAAGAAAAAACCTTTTCGTTTCTCACCTAGACTGAACTGGATGAGCGTACTCCTTCTTGAACTTCCTTACACTGGGCGGCTCCATCGTAGTATATGTCTGTTTCTCCTCCTCTGTGGGCTCAATGTCCGGAATGTTAAACCTGATCTTGAGCAGATTGAACAGATCTGTCGGCTCACAGAAGGACCTGTAATGCCAACCCTCATATTTCGCAAATTTCATCCATTGATTTAAGAATTCAAGAAGCCTTCACTTGAAGCATGCCCAAAACAAACGCCTCTAACGCCCGACACAGTTGGACCGAGTTTTATGCATATTCGCGAACCGCTAGAAAACGTTCAATTGGTGTGTTTGATACTGTGTGAGATATTTCATGGGGAATCCATTTGAGCAAAAATTAGGACTGTGATTCAACTCATAAATTATATTTGCTGTCTGAAAATTCTGCGCTGTTTCGTTGAACTCCATGCTTTACCTGTAGGTTGTGAAGAAATCTTCGATATAAGCGTGGTCTGCGTGCAAGTGGAAAGTCAGCCGTTCGACTAGTTTTGGCAACGTTGCCTCTTTCACCTTGGACACTCCTGACTTAGAATCGGTGATGATGTTCACGTCTCCTTCTCGCTTGTCTGGTTCTGCGAAACAGTACTTATCCGGAGCTGGGACTCGCAAAGGCTGTTTTCGCTCCTCTTCAGCGATATACTTGTCCAAGATTCGCTCCAATGTTCTACAAACAAACGGGTACTAATATGACACTCGAATTACTTATATTCAATCCAATTTGGGCACGGAAACGGAAGTAATGATTTCGCCAAAGAAAATGCAAGTAGACAAACTAAGAAACAATTTATTTGAGATTTGACGTACCAGGGATTTTAAACCTAATCAAAAGTAATTGGCTCACTCAAATTACTGGACAAATTTTGTATTAAAACACTATCAAAACACAGAACATTATAAGCTAAGCCTGATATCACTTGATAGATGCATTGAAAAGAACAAAGAGCGCCAAACTAGCATGACTTCTTCATAAGTCTCACACTTGTCCCCAATTATTGAATGTTTACGTTACCCTCTAGAGTGGACTGACAGCATTGCAACCATCCAGTCTTGCTTTTCCGTAAGGTTGTCACACGAATAGACAAATGCCTCGTGTGAGGACTTCGAATGATGGTGGTGAAACACTAATGGTGGGGAGTGGGTCGACGATGATGGCGCCGAGGAGTCTATAACATTGATCTGGAAGGTCATCGAATGATGCTGACTAGAATCCGCCGCTGCACCAGAACTGGCTTCAGACTGGGTCGTTGAACTTGGGTGTTCTTTGTGGTCTAGGATTTCAATCTCGCGCATCCGGAACCACTCTTTCACTCTGTACTGGTTTCCCTTCCTTCGACAACACAGAATAAATCCGTCCAGAAGAAACACCAGGCGGGATTTCTTGTCTGTTCCGCACACGCGATGCCATTCGCCCTCTGAACATAGAACTGTTTAGTTACCGATAATCAAAAAGCGTTCAAAAAAATAACATGCCTATCAGTCGAACCTGATTAGATAATAACGGGGTCATACAACGGAGTGTGAGCCATTTTTATATACTAGTTAATTGCGCTTCAAAAAATTGAACATTCTAGTTTGATAGGGAACCAATTTTTCCAAGATGACAAAATTATGCAAAATTCAGCTTGGAAACACAATAAAGCAGCTCAAGGCAACAAATCAGTCTTTTAGATAATCATTTGCAAGCGACAACTCTCAGCCCAAAAAATTGATTCTCAATAAGGGGAACAACAACAGTTCTCCGTAAAGAGCCGAACAGCTCGAATGTTGGTAGTTTCTTCCTTAGATGAACGGTCTCAAAAATCTGCAGTTTTTCTTACCCATAATAATTTCGCCTCCCGATTTAAACATTCTGCTCCTCGTCTCTTCATCTATGCCCATCAGATTTCGGATCAACTCGTCTACCCGCTCGATCGCCTCCCCGTTGATGGGTTTGGGCACGAAGCGAAAGTAGACTTCTCGTTTGGGCAAATATTCAGACATCTGTTTCAGTTCATTCAGATATGGCTTCAGACAGCTCAAAGCTTGACTCAGCTCATATCGGTCTTTCTTTTCTGGACTTGTAATGAGGAGAGCCTGTAGAGATGAAAATTAACTCAAATCAGAAACTGACAAGCTCAGTAGAGTTTACACAGTTTTGATTAAAACAAGAGGTGCCGATTCCCAAACGACTACTGGAACAAATTCAAGCGTTTATTTGACAGGGGCCAAATGGAACTTTTTTAAAATCGCAAAAATTGCGCGAAGTGTTTTTCAAATTCTTTTGATAATTATCTCAATTTATCAATGCACACCGACTGTAAAAATAGAGGCTCGAACTATTCAATTGCTTTTAAAACTTAAGTTTTTCAAATTAATTAAATGTTAACAGTAACTTACATTGAGGCGTTCAAAATGCGTAGCTGCATGTGATACTAAATTGTACATAAGCCTCGGGAGCACATATTTGTACAATTCCGATGCACTGTAGCCCAATTCTTTCTGAAAAGAAGAAATAACAGATGTATTGACTTGTCTTGCCCAATTTTTTCTGAAAAGAAGAAAGAACAAATGTATCTTTTCGATGCAAATTATAGTTTACGGAATAAAATAATTCTTCATTGAAAACATCTTCATTGAAAAACTTGAGACGAGTGAAAAAGATATTTCAAAATATAACTTTGAGCTCTGCTTCAAACAAGAAGTAACAATAAACGACGAATAACCACACTCGGACTTGCCGAAAACTATAAAAGAACCATAAGTTCATGGTACAACTAAACAGATTTGAACTCACTTTTGTCCTCTCAAAATAGGCTTGTATGGCTTTGTTCGACAGGAATTCGTTATACTTGGCCATGTATTCCACCTGATCATCTGCTATATTGTGTGCGAAACTAACGTAGGGTCCTAAAGACATGAGTTCTGCAAACTCGAGAAACGCATCCCCGACCAGCGGAGTTTCCTGAAAAAAGAACTAATTCGCACTCCAAAATCTAAAATAAAAAAAACAGAAGGAAAAAATTAAACACTAGTCTTACATTTCCGTAGAATTCTAAAGTTTCTTCTAATTTCGGCAAGAATTGATTGGATATTTCGTGAAGTGAGTGAATTGTGTGGAAGATTTCGTCAAATTTCTGAAATAAAAACAGCAAAAAACGCGACATGACTTTTTGCAACCACCCACTACAAATAGTTCTTTGAATTTGGCGTTTTTTGTAATCATAGGCAGGAAGAATGTCGAAAAAAGAAACACTTAGGATCTGAGAAATTTCAGGCGCAGAGACAAAAAAGAGCTTCGCACCACTTGCGATGCAACACAAACATAGCATGACCCAACATAAGACAAAAGTAGATTTTTTTCAATAGATCTAACAAAACGTTCATGTTTGCCTCAATTTTGTCCAAAATAAAGTTCAATTTCAAAACAACATGCCAAGTAAAACAATTGAGTGTTGAAATAGCATCGAAACAAAATTTACGAAGCCAAAACAACGCCGACGGTTTTTGAGCAGACACGTTGATGGGAAAAAACTGGACTGTCTTTTGCTCATCAAGCGACGCAATAAGCCTATACACACAGAGGCGAAGCGGACCTTCGCACCACTTGCAATACAACACAAACGTAAGTTGAAAAAAAATATATATATTTTTTAAAAAAACAAGGCAAACTACAACTTTCGTACGACTCGATAAAAAGAAAACAAGAATTCGTTACACTGCAGCGGGATGCAATAAAAAATTTTCAAAATTCCAAAAATTGGACTTTGCCCCGAAGCTCGGATGTTTTCATTTTAAAATAAGTGAGTGACAATTTGAGAAATTGTACTGCTGTTTGAAGCAAATAACTTTTTTCGGTTCATTTTTTTTACTTATCAAATGTCAAAGCACATATAATATTATACTGCTACTCCAGCCTACCGATTCAGAACTGCCATCAAAAGTAGCACTTTAACTTGCAACTTAGGTTGGAAAAAACGTTCGACCTAATACACTTTGTTTCGCAAGAGTAAAAAAAATGGCCAAAACTCAACAAACTTGATATTTCGAAATCCAAAACCTTTTTACTGCTAAAAGTAAGCATTGATCGTTTAAAAAAAGAAGATGCTCAAAGCCGGGTTTCTCGATTGAACACTCAACCTCAAAATTGGCAGGGTAGTTTTCGACAACAGTGAAAAAGTTTCCAAAAAACGGTCAAAATTTCAAATACTTGATTTTTCTGAAGGTCACAAATTTGTTCTTTAAAAAATGGATGTGTCAATTTCTGCACGCAGGCTCTCGACAGCCTGCTGTTTCGATTAAACCCTTGGTATCAGATTTGGTATGATAACTTTTGAAAGTCAAAAATTTTCCAAAAAACGGCAAATAAATCAAAAATAGGACTTCTCCGAGAATCAGAGCTTTTTCAAAATTGGGATATATGCAGAAGAGTTTCACAAAAGCTGTTTTTTCGATTGAACCCAAAAACTCAGATTAGGCAGGGTAGTTTCTAAGAAACGAGGGAGTCGTTTTTGAGTGTTTTCTCAAAAAATGGTTTTAAAAAAATGACTATTCCGAGGGTCATAACATTGTTTTGAAAATTTTGGGCGCACTTGGTTAAGGAGACCTTCTCAGAACCCGTTGTATGCATTGGACCCAAAATCTTCAGATTTGGTAGTTTTGAGAAAAACGAATAAAAAATCCAAAAATATGGGTCAAATATTTCCCCCACCTTTTTCACACTCTTTGTCAAGGGTTTTAACAGTGGTGTAATCTGAAAAAGCCTAGTAGATTATGAAGGCAGAAAAGGGAACAGACGGCGTGGAGCAAACAGGGGCACTTAAATAATTTTTCAAACAAATGAAAATTTTTAAAAAGTGAAAAAAATCCAAAGCGTGTCAAAACAACAAAAAAATTAAAACCTTAAACCATATACTTTCACAATACGTGTTGTAATCAAACCGGAAATCTAGCCAAGCATACCAAGCAAATTATTTGATTTTAAAATTAAAAGAGAACAAAACTTACGAAGAAGAAACAAAGCCTACAATTTTGAGCAGACAAATTGAACCGAAAAAAATGATTTTACAAAAAAAAACTTTTAGATTTAGTCCCTCCTGAAACTTCAATGAACAACACTTGCACTTGCAACCTCAATGAAAGCTGCTTACAGCACAAAAAAAAACGATGTAGCAATTAAGTCGACAGTCATGGAGCAGACACCAGCTGAGCCGAAAAAAAAATTGTTTTTATAAGGACTTTCAAGTCCCCCCAGAAACTACAATCAGCAACAATTACACTTACAACTACAATGAAACTTGGTTATAGCACACCCATAATATGCGATTTGGCAACTAAACTGACAAAACTTGAGCTGACAAACGAAAGACCGACAAATCATATTTTGTCGGAAAAACATTTTCAATAACATACTGACAAAAAACAAGGTCCGACAGAACCCAAGACCTTAGGGTAGAAAAGCCACGGCTTTAAATCTAGCCCAAAAAGGTAAAAAAACCTGACTACTGTTAAGATTCAATTATAAATTAAGTTGAAAATGTGTAAGAACAGTTTTACCGGGAAAAAAGTCTAGTTTCCGATTACAATACACTTGCTCTCGCAAAATTGCTAGGCCAAATTAAAACTGAAAATACAAAAAAAACTTAAATTATACTGAATCGATAAAATTACTGAAAATTATTGCAAGGTTAAAAAACGTCATTTCAGGAAGATTCAGATTCCAAAAATGGAAATTTAGAAAAATATTTTCTCGATATTAGAAAAAAGATGAATCGAATATTATCATGGCAAAATACGCCCCGCGCATAGCTTATTCACTATACTTCCAAATAACAGCAAAAAATTCAATTAACCTCCTTAGGACCATTTTCTAGCTTTTCCAATGGACTAATGAATACGTATATGATCATCTGAATATTTCTCTGATTCTGTTGCTCTTCTGCCTTCAGATGTTTGACTATGTGATGATATCGTTCTGTTTTCGCATCTTTGTCTAAATTTTCGATTTCCGATGTTAGCTGCGCATCATCTAGCACAGGTCTTTCATTGACATCACGACTAATTTCGAGCACTTCTAGCAAAACCTGAAATACCATGCTTGAAATTTCATGATTCCTATTTTGAATGCTCCAAAAGTCAACCGTTTATTAAAAGGAAATCGAATTTAACCAATTTCAATAGAACCTAACCTTGTCTGCGCAAAGAGCATTTCTGACATCCTCAACTTTGACTTCGACACATTTCAAGTTTTTGACGAACGATCCAATTAACTAAAATAAGAACAATAAGAATGTCCCGACCACAAACAAAGTTTAAAATTGAAAACCAAAAAAATCTAATAGAAAAATCGAAAAAAAAACTAATAAACCTTTAATTTTTCCCTGGGTATGGTGCGATTGATTTAGGTCAAAAGCAGTGAAAATTAGAGCTAATAATAGCTAAGTTACTGGAAAAATCGCATTGGAATTGAGACAACTTTTTTGAAATTATCTTTCAGAATCCACATTACGGCTGAAAAAGCTTTAATAGGCTACCACACTTGGCTATCTACAAGCTTTCTTTGAGTTAGTCAAAACCGAGGAAAAACACAGACTAATCCATTATTTTTTCCGGTCACTCTCAGTGACGTCGGAACAAAAAGTGTCTCCAGTTTGATAAGCTGCATTTACGTGAAAATTTACTGCTAATAATAACATCACTTACCCTAAAGAGGTCTACACAGAGGAATTCCACACATCCAGCGATGAGCCACATTACATCTTCATTGACCTCATTAATGGGCATCTGGAAAAACTCCTGAAAACATTTTTGCTTCATCAAACACCACAGTTGATTTGATGTTAATTTTTGTTCAACAACTCAAAATTATCTAAGCGATCGTACGCGAGGACTATGAATTAGTCTGCGAGTTATGCGATGGGACGATACCCTCGGGCAAGGAGCTATTTTTCAATGTTATGAAACGGCAGGCTTTATTTCTTTGCCATTCTTCCGCGTGCCGAGTTTTCGCACTGAAACTATAACACAGGCGAAGCGGAGCTTCGCACCACTTGCGATGTACCACAATCATAAAAAAGCATAAATTGAAAAACAAATGAAAAATGTTGAAAAGACTAGGTGAGCCAAAATTTTCACATGGGCACAGATAAAGCTGAAGGTACGAGTTTGATATTTTTTGAATTTATTATACTGATATAATTCCCAAATATACTGAGATAATTGTCAAAGATATAACTTTTCTCTAGCAAAAAAATTAAGGACTAGCCGCTTCTGCAGAAAAAATTTGCGCAACCGCTTCTTTCGATTGAAATTTTCATCTCAGATTTGACAGGGTAGTTTTTAAGAAAAGTTCAAAATATTTCTAAACAACACTCAAGTTCAAAAAGTGGACTTTCGGAATTAGGTAACTTTTTTCTACTAAAAGCAGGTCGTTGCCGGTAAAAAAAAAGATTACCAAAATCGCGTTTCTCGATTGAACACTTAACCTGAGAATTGACATGGTAATTTTCGAGTAGTCAAAAATTTTCCAAAAAACTCAGTTTCAAAACTTTGACTTGTTTGAAGTCCATAACTTTTTTTTTAAAAAAAACTGGGCGTAGCAAATTATAAAGGTAAGCTTCCAAGAACCTGTTATCTCGATTAAACGTATGATATCAGATTTGGCAGGAGAGCTATCAAGAAGAGCCCAAAAGACGAGAATCATCGCTTTTTCCGAGAATCAAGGCTTTCTGTTTAAAAAACTGGGCGTAGACGCTTATGCAGACTAGAATCTCCCAAGCTGTAACTTCGTTTGAACCTAAACACCCAAGTTCGCCATGATAGTTCTCGAGAAAACTCATAGTTTCAAAAAACAGTTGAACAGCAAAATTTTGATTTTTCCGAGCTCCATAATTTTTTCTGTCAAAAAATAGGGCGTGGTCGCGTATGCCAATGAGCTTCCCACAACCGTTCTTTGGATTGAAACTCAGATATCGGAGCGTCAGGTAAAATTCATAAAAAAATTGAAAACGCTAAAAAAATTTAAAAAAATGACTTTTTTGAGGACAAGTTTTTAAGTAAACAAATTGTGAGTGACGGTCAATACAGCGGAACGTCCCACTACCCGTTATCAAAATCTCAGATATCGGAGCGTTGGTAAAATTCATAAAAATTTGAAAACGCTCAAAAATAAAAAAAAATGACTTTTTTGAGGATGATAAGTTTTTGTGTAAACAAATTGTGAGTGACGGCCAATACAGGGGAACGTCCCACTAACCGTTATCTCGATTGAACCCACAACCTCAAGTTTGGGGGGTTAACTTTTGAGAAAAAAGGAAAAAGATTCACAAAAACGGTAACAAAAATCAAAAACTATTTCTAGGGCCATAATGTTTAAAAAATTTAGGGCTTAACCGCTAATACAGGGGAGCTTTTCAAATTCGTTTTACTCATTGAAACCAAAATCTCAGGTTTGGAAGGTTAGCTTTTGAGAAAAAGAAAAAATCAAAAACAACGGTCACATATTCCCCACAGACTTTTTTAAAGATCTCAGGGAAAAAAATCAATGGTAAAACGTTTTCGACATTATGTCATTATCAGTAACTTAAAAATAGCAAAACTGTACAATTAAAAGCACATTAAAAAAAGGAAAACTGGAAAGCAATTAAAAACAGATAGAACTGTGATAAGCAAGTTTGATTGGAACAAGCCACTGGAATGTGGGACAATGTAACAATGTTACAGCTTCAGGGTCAACACGCGAGCCTTGTACTCTTCTTTCGGGTTGATTGAAGGCTTTCTCTGGTTGATATGCAATGCTTCCAAGGTTAAAACTTTAGCGGAGTCTCTTGCTGTGTCAATGATCTTTACTTCGCAGCTGTCAATGGTAACACCACGCCAATTGAGGTGTTCTCCTACTGGGCTAGTACCTTTGGAATGTTCGCGCACTCTCGTGGCTAGGTGGCGGGTTGTTTGCCCGACGTAGCTAGACTGGCATCTAGAACAAGTGATTTCGTAAACCACGTTGCCATGAACATTCTCTGGTGTTTTTGGTTTCATCTGTCTAGTTGTGAAGATGACAGAAATATTGGCCGTTTTTCGGAGACGATTGGAGACAACGTCACTTTTGCTGCCCCTATATTGCATAACAAAGGGTATCCGTTTCTTGGCCGCTTTTTCTGTTGTCTTGGTATTTGTGTCTTGTTTCAAGTGTTTCTCAATGATCTTGAGAGTCTCACGGATGATGGGTTCATAAAATTGAGGTGGGTATTGTTTTTTCTCCAGCATACATCCAACCTCAGTTTGCCCATGCCAGTTGGAAGAGGCATTAAACACACGATGCACAGTTCCTAGCACAAAGTTTTTCTTGTATCTCATCGGCGCAAGAGCTCTAAAAGAGAGAGTCAATCCTGTATCAGTTGGTTTTCTGTACCAGGTCGTGTCAACATCAGCGCCGGTCTATTTCACGCTCATGTCAAGAAATGGGAGACTTCCATTTCCCTGACGTTCAATAGTGAACTCTAGGTTTTGATGAAGTTTATTAACTCTCTCTAAGATTCCAGTGATGTTCTCTGGTTTTGCACTTCGCAGTATGTCATCCATATACCGACTAAACACTCGAGCTTTTCGTGATTCGTCTACAGTGCATCCGCAGCACCAACTGGAAGTAGCCATGCGCTTGATCTCTTCCACCGTGAACGGGGTACATTTACGATGAGACCATTTGCAGCAAACCTTACACCTGATTGAGTAACCGCGGAAAGTAACTTTTACGCCGCACTTGCCACAACAGTTGTCAGGTTTTTTTCGGTGGTTCCGGCATCTCTGATGACAGAGCTGGTTCGAACGTTTTCATCCAGACGTTTGCAAGTATGACGGCCATGGCAGCGCCCATCGCTACACCGTCTCTCTGGATATACCAGTCTTCTCCGGACATGAACCACACATTGGTAACGGATAGCTCCATGAGCTTGTGGCAAGTTGTCCGAGAAATGGGCGGAGTTTTATCACCTGTAAAGAGGATGTCACAGGCCAAATCGATAGCCTCTTGCACTGGAACGTTCGTATACAGACTTTTCACGTCAAGTGAAAAATTTCTTCGCCTTCCTCTAAGTGGGTCTTACGTAAGATGGCCATCATCTTAGCAGTAGATGTTTCAATATTCGCGGAAGGGATATGACAGAAAAGACCTGCCAGCCACTTGTTCAGATTATCGTAACAACTTCCTGGTAGAGATAAGACCGGACGCAACGGAATGCCTTCCTTATGTACCTTAGCGAGACCGTCGAGGCGGGCAGGATGGGAGCCACTGACACGGAGTTTCTGATGTAACTCGTCTGGCAAATCTCCGGTGTCCTTCATTTTCTTTAAAGTGCAGTTGAGCGCTGACTCGGTTTAGTACACTGAGTTATTGCAGGAGCTAGCAGTAACCTTCTCGAACTGTTGGCATGCTAGTACTTGTTTCAACTTTGAATCATAGTCATCGTTACTCATGAGACAGATGCCCTGTCCTTTATCGAAAGGAACGGCTTTCACACGCTTTCAAAGTGGGGTCCTCGCGTTGTTTTTTCATCTCCTTCGTGTACCAGAAAGGAAGTGCGTTCACCTCGTTCAACACGTCGCTGTTAGCACCTTCGTACTTCAGATAGTAAAAGAGCTTGTCAGCATCCGCCAAAAAATGCAGTTCGTTAAACTTATGCAAAACCGGATGCTTGGGGCCAAAGGATAAGTAATCTATAACAAACAGCGGGACATCAACATTATCACCCACGTGTACTGCCTTGCCATTATTGTGTAGAGGATTCTCCTGGAGGCGCGCTAGGTCGTCCAACTTCTTTCGATGACGATCACTAACTTCCTGGTATGAGACCCTCATATCGTATCTCACATGAAAGGCAGCAGATGGCAGATAATAACGTGGGACAGCACTGGTGAAGGTCCTGCGTGAGATATCCAGTGAACCAGCCAAACATATTTTTGTCTGCAGTGCTTTCTGTTTCTCTTTACGCAAGAGACGCTTCTGGAAATTGTGTACTACCGTGCTCTCAAAACACCCGTTGGCTGGCATTTTAAAACGGAGGAACTTCGAGATAATGTCATTCTTCAAACAAGTTGACAAAAACTTGATGCGATGACAGCAGAAGCTCAATTTTTGTACAGATCGCTGATATTTAGCAAAAAATGATAAGGCGTCGCGTTTCTCCAATATCTTCTCAAAAAGTATCCGTGGTAAAATGCATTGATATGTAGTCATGATCTCAGGGAAAAAAACATCAATGGTAAAACGTTTTCGACATTATGTCATCATCAGTAACTAAAAAATAGCAAAATTGTACAAATTAAAAGCACATTAAAAATTGGAAAACAATTAAAAACAGATAGAACTGTGATAACCAAGTTTGATTGGAACAAGCCACTGGAATGTGGGACAACGTAACAATGTTACTTTTTTGAAGGCTGTAGACAAAGGGGTAAAGCAAAAAGAGACCAGGGGAGTGTGCAGGCACGGAAGCATGAGGCGTTCTTTCACTCGATATTCTTTTTTTTTGAAAATCGGTAGAAAACTTTCTGAGAAAAGTGATTAAACTTTCCAAAGCGTCAAAAAATGCAAAGACAGAGGCGAAGCTGCGCTTCTCAAACACTATCGGGAAAGCAGCTCTATCAAGTGAAATTTGAAAAAAAAAAGATAGAAATAAGCCTCGAGTTAGTGAAACTTTGATACGTATGCGCTTCGAACTTGCGACCTCGAGATTTGGATTCTCACGCCCTGCGCTCTCGGCCACGAACGCTTAACAACCGGCAAACACTAGTCACAAATGAAGCAGCTACATATGATAACAAATTGCAAAAGCTATGCAGCACAGGTGGCAGCGGATACAAATATACACAATTTTCCAAGTAATAGTTTGGAATATAACAAGCTGAAGGCATCTATACTAATTTTGCATGTAATAAATTGGAAAACATGAAACTACATTATCCATAAATTATGCATTGGAAAAAATAGCGAGATATAATGAACTTTTATGATTGCTATGTTGATTGAAACAAATAGCTTTTTTCGGTTCATTTGATGAATTTAAAATGTATCAGTTGTGTTAACTTATTACTATTCGAATGTCATGCTAGAAGCACATGCTATCAAAAAGCCGTAAAGGTGCCCAAAAACTGGCACCAATATTTAAGACTTAGAGTAGAAAAAATAGTCGCAGTATAACACAAGCGCTCACTAAGGTTAGCTAGAGTAAAAAAATCCCAATCCCATCAAGACATTTCAAATTCAAATTAGCAACTGAACAAAACTTATGAAGCGGAAACAAGGCCAACCATCTTTGAGCAGACACCAGTTCAGCCGGAAAAAAAACTGATTTTGTGGAAAACTTTTAAAAGTTTCCAGTCCCTACTGAAACTACCCTGTAGTAACAAGTACCCACCCAGTAGTTAAATTTGAATTTTCAAGAAATTGAGCGCTCACTAAGGTTAGCTAGAGTAAAAAAAATCCCAATCCCATCAAGACATTTCAAATTCAAATTAGCAACTGAACAAAACTTATGAAGCGGAAACAAGGCCAACCATCTTTGAGCAGACACCAGTTCAGCCGGAAAAAAAACTGATTTTGTGGAAAACTTTTAAAAGTTTCCAGTCCCTACTGAAACTACCCTGTAGTAACAAGTACCCACCCAGTAGTTAAATTTGAATTTTCAAGAAATTGAGCATAGCAGCATTATAAGTTATCTAAAGTTATTCAACTGATTATGTTAAACAAGTCGTTAACCCGAAAAAAAGTCTACCTTCCGATTTAATAACGCTTGCTAATGCAAGCGTGAAGATGCCTTCAGAAATTTGAGCTAGTGTTGTAAACAATTTTATTTAAAAAACAAACAAGCTTACTTTGCACACAAGAGCGCGCAGCTGTGTGTAAGGTACAAGAAACTGAATTTTTCCTTGTGTGAGGGCCTTTCCATTCTTTTGCAGCCTCTTGTCTATAGACTCCTGAGCTTCTGTAATCGCCCAGTTGTTCAGTGGCGGGGGAAATTTGTTCATAATGACACCTTTGATTACTTCGATGTCGTTGGAGGGAGTTGTACAAATAGGATAAAGACATTTGCTTAATATCAAATCTTGGATGTAGAGAGCAGCTGCTTCGGTCAACGTCAATGTTGGATGTATTTCTGACAATATCTAAAAGACGCAATATCTATAAGACTCAGCAGAGACAATTAATTAAGGTTTTTAGAGAAAAATAGAAGTCAGGGTCTAAACAGTATTGATATGAATTTGGCTCTGTACAATTATAGAAGTTTCGCACTGAAAGACCTTAGCTTGTACACTCTCGAACTGTTGGAAGCGTGCTAAAATTTATCGGGAAAGATCCCCAAATATATGGTCATGAAAACCACGGTAATGGAATACTTACTCGTTCGAGTCCTTCAATTAAAAATCTTTCCCATTTCGGACGATTTGCTTCTGATTTGAAATCATATTTCACATCCATTACACCTGAAAACCTGGTAAACTCAAAGATTTCATTAACTTTAAGCACCAAAGGTGATATGGCGCAAAAACCTAAAAGTTAGCATAATTGTTGTGATAAACTTATTAAATAGTTTGAGATTAGAATGTCAATGAAAACAAGGAATGGATCTGTTGGAGATAGAGCTCAGGCAACAACATCAGACGACGCAGATCATTGTCTTGAATGCAAGAAAGGGGGTGGTGAGAACTGGATTCAATGCGATATCTGTGACGGCTGGTTTCACGATGGATGCTCCGGTCATCCTGTTGATCTTCCCCCCAAGGTAACACAAGCTAAGTTGTTGCTCTTTTGTTGCCTGATTTGTTTCAATAAAAAAACTTCACTTCCCTCTGTTGACGAAGTTGCAAATACCATCACGAAAAAAATCCTGAGATCATTGAAAAGGCAAAAACCGAGTCATTTAAGGGCGACGCGGTGAACAGTCGCCTACTTCGGTCACAAATGAGGTCAAAGAAAAATAGGCCCTATAACCATTGGCTCAAGAGTCAGGGACACTATCTCTTGTGTTTTTCTACCTCGAACGGCCGGAGCCAATTCGGTTCACTTGCGACATGAGACTAAAAACCCGTTACAACTTAAAGGCCACTACCAAAATACCCAAAAAAACACGAACGCCGTTAAAAACAGGGTCGGAACAATCCGTACAGTTACTTTTTATTAGACAGTGAAACTTTGATCCATTTCAGATGGATCAACCTGAAAGTCTCCTTACCTCAACATAAATCATAAAACACACAAGAAAATTAAATTGGTTACTCACAAACCAGCACACTCGAGGATTGAGATAACTAAGTTAATCAGTAACTCTAGCATAAAGTATAATAACTTGAGCAGTTTGCTATTGATGAACTCCAGCAAGGGAAATAAGTGTTAACTCGAGAATTAAGTTCTGGGATTGGACCATTGGGATACCCCAGCTGTCCACCTTTCCACTGAGGGTTCACTCTGGTTCAGTTCGAATAAATATGTTCTTCTTTTACAATCGCTTCTTCTCCAATTTCAGGATAGGACAGCTCTACTCGCGTTTGATTTATATCTGGAAATTGCGAATAGAAATTTCCCGCTGCATTTTTCAAGTACTTTCCCGCGATTGTAAATCGGTTGTTCTCATCTTGTATTTCTGAGATTTTCAGTTTTCGCGAGAAAGTTGAGCATGACAGGCTCAATACGAATTTTTGAAAAATTAATCTTCCTCCCAAAATTACGTAGTTCGTATTCCTCAAGGTCAAAATTCCAAATATGACCGACTGGCACATACTCCCCGGACTCAAGATCGATATCCTCATCGCGTGTTGCCGCCTGCCAGTGAGTCCCCAGAATACCGAGTGTTGCTCAAGATACAATTTCAGTGGTCATTTACAGAAGTTTGCAGCAGACTTAAGTTTATCTACACCCCAAAATTCACAACCATATAAAATTGTCACACTATCGCTGAACAGCAATCAAAATTTTCATATACCTGCACCTTAAATATCCGCTCTTGCAGCTTATGGTTAGAAATTCTTTTGTCCTCTCCAATCAGGAAAGTATTATGCAACATTTTGATTTATATAATAAGTATAGCAAATTAATAACAATACTTTGTTTCGTTAAAATTTCTTTTTCGTGACCTCGGATTTCAACCGAGTTCACACTCGAGCCCCTTCCTTTCCCTCTCAAGACTCAAGAAACCCACATTGAACTCCCTGCTCACTTCGCATTCCTAGCCTTCGGAGTGCTAGGACCCGATGAAGTTGACACCGTGATCTGCCTTAGTAGCGCTTCCTCATCATCAGAGCCGATCACGATTTCTTCCCATGCTCTCAATTGTTCGAAGGATCGCATCCACTCCTTTTGCTCCTGCAACCTCATTGCCTGATTCGGTAAACCTTTCATTATCAATTCCCTGTTCAAGCAAAAGAAATTGTGCAGGCTCAAGCTCAGGTTCTTCGCCAAGTCCTGTGCCAGTCGGTCATAGTTGGAAGTTTGACTTTGAGGAATACGAACTAGGCAATTTTGGGAGGAATTTTTTTTTTCAAAAATTCGAATTGAGCCTGTCATGCTCAACTTTCTTGCGAAAACTGAAAATCTCAGATATACAAGATCAGAACAACCGATTTACAGTCGCGGGAAAGTACTTGAAAAAAGCAGCGGGAAATTTCTATTCGCAATTTCCAGATACAAAACAAACGCGAGTAGAGCCGTCCTATCCTGAAATGGGAGAAGGAGTGATTATAGAAGAAGAGTACATTTATTCGAATTGAACCGGAGTGAACGCTCAGTGGAAAAGTGGACAGCTGGGGTATCCCAATGTTCCAATCCCAAAATTTATTTCTCAAGTAAAAAATCATTTCCTTTGCTGGAATTCGTTAATTACAAACTTCTTGAATTAAAACTTAATTCCCTTTAATGCTTGAGTTGCTGATTAATTTAGTTACTCCAATTCTTGAGTGTGCTGGTATGTGAGTACCCAATTTAGTTTTTTTGAGTGTGTTTTATGATTGTTATGTTGAGGTAAGGAGAGTTTTAGGTTGATCCATCTGAAATGGATCAAAATTTCACAGTCTAGTAAAAAGTAACTGTAAGGTTTGTTCCGACCCCGTTTTTAACGGCGTTCGTGTATGTTGGGTATTTTGAGACCTAAGTATGAAGACGTTCTTATTTTCTAGAGTGGAGGGGTGTTTTGGAAGTGGCCTTTAAGCTGTAACGGGTTTTTAGTCCCATGTCGCAAGCGAACCGAAATTGCTCTGACCGTTCGAGGTTGAAAAACACATGAGATAGTGTCCCTGACTCTTGAGCCAATGGTTATAGGGCCTATTTTTCTTGAACCTCATATGTGACCGAAGTAGGCGACTGTTACATAGTGTTTTTATGGCGCTCCTGGGTGTTTTTACGACATTATGACTACAGAGTCGAACCCACTTGACGCATCTCCGGGCTACATGCCCATTCTAGACTACCGGTGGTACGGTTCAGCGGGAACGTGTAAACCTTCCGGTTGTACCGTGATAGTTTTTTACGAAAAATCGAGAAAACTTCCCAGTAGGCTCTCCGAACGAGGCTTAGCTAACCGAGTAAGGGGGCTAACTAGGGGGACGAAAAAACGAGCAAAAGACAAAAAGCGAAACTAAAACCAAAAAAGAATAGAAAAAAGAACAAAAACTATAAAACAAAAAATGACAGTGACTTCTACTTCCAAATTAGGTGGATCAAACCTTGATATTAATTAAATAGTATACCCATATCTGTTTTTGTAAGACCGATCGTTTCGATCATTTCAGCAATCTGAAAAGGTGCCCGAGTGTGGGGCGTTGTGAAGGGTTTTCAGATAGCTTGCAACTTAGCTGGACCATTAGGAGACGTGACTGGAACAAGTGGCCAGTCGAGTGGGAAAGTGGTTCACAGGGACTTAGCTGGACCATTAGGAGACTTGACTGGAACAGGTGACCAGTCGAGTAGGAAAGTGGTACACAGGGACTTAGCTGGACCATTAGGAGACTTGACTGGAACAGGTGACCAGCCAAGTGGGAAAGTGGTGCTGGTGATCGAGTGCAGGACAACTCAAGAAAACAACCAGCACGGGATCAGAGCAACAAGAGAGGATGGGGGTGTTCTCAAGTTCGTTACACAAGTATCGTTAAAATCCACATTAAATTATAGGAGATAAGTGTAAAATTGGATAAGCGGAACCCCACTGTTTTGAGGAACGTTTTTACTCAAGCAGGCCTGGAAACAGTTTCTACGGTTTTCTCTCAAGAGGTTTAGCACCCGGCGCTCAAGGTAATTTTCGGCTTAAGAGGGGGCTAAAGAGTGGGGAGGTTAGAAGGTGGGCTGGTTAGGTTAGAGGTTGGCGGTTAAAATTGTAAAAAAAAGGGGGACACATTAGAACTAATTGATCGGCATCCATTTAGTTACATTAGATTCTTACACGCGTTGATTATAAGAAGCGGATATCCAAAATTAACAGCGATTTCAGGTAAGTGCCCTGGTCGGATCGGGTGGGGGGAACGGACGTAGACAGTTTTTGTGATACCCCATAAGATCGCTAGCAGGGGGGAGTGGAACGCGTGGTAATCAGGTACCAGACTTTTTTGTTGTTGTTGTTCTGATAAAGGGTTGACAAAAGTCGCCTTTGAGTTTTAGGTGGGTTTATTTCTCTGTTTTTATCATTATTTTTTTCTCTGTTGAAATTTTGACGCTTTTGGTAAAAAAAGTTTTAATCGGTTTTGGACAAACAGGTGATCACAAGACACCTCGAACAAGTTGGGTTTCAACTTGCATCAAAATTTTAAAAGGGAAATAAATACAGGGGGGTTGATAATATTAACTTTTGGCCAGTAAGATTGGGTTTTTTGGGAAATTTTTTACTAGAGCTCAAGTGGTGGTACCAGGTACAGTGGTTCAAGGCAGTCTTGGGACAGGCAGTCTTGGGACAGGCAGTCTTTGGACAGGCAGTCTTGGGATAGGTGGTCTTGGGACAGGCAGTCTTGGGACAGGCAGTCTTGGGACAGGCAGTCTTGGGACAGTGGTCTTGGGACATGCAGTCCCAGGCAGTCTTGGGACAGGCAGTCTCGGGACAGGCAGTCTTGGGACAAGCAGTCTTGGGACAGGCAGTCTTGGGGCAGGCATTCTTGGGACAGGCAGTCTTGGGACAGTAGTCTTGGGACAGGCAGTCTGGGGACAGTAGTCCTGAGACAGGCAGTTTTGGGACAGGTAGTCTTGGGACAGGCAGTCTTGGGACAGGCAGTCTTGGGACAGGTAGTCTTGGGACAGGCAGTCTTGGGACAGGCAGTCTTGGGACAGGCAGTCTTGGGACAGGCAGTCTTGGGACAGGCAGTCTTGGGGCAGGCAGTCTTGGGACAGGCAGTCTTGGGACAGTAGTCTTGGGACAGGCAGTCTGGAGACAGTAGCCCTGAGACAGGCAGTTTTGGGACAGGTAGTCTTGGGACAGGCAGTCTTGGGACAGCACCAGAAAGTCTTGGAACAGTACCTAAGAGTCTTGGGACAGCACCAGAAAGTCTTGGGACAGTACATAAAAGTCTTGGGGCAGTACATATTAGTCTAGGGAATACCAGGAAGTCTTGGGACG